TAAGTATTTTAGTGGTTCATTTTTCTAGGAAAAGGAAATTACATTCAATATGAAATGTCATTACTACTGATGCAGAACACAAAGGAAATTGATGCCTATATAATTAGGTCTCAAGAAGTTTTACCACGGCTTTGTTTCTTAATTGCTATAGCCCTTGAATATGAAGTTCTGAAACTGCTGCATTGAATGCATCAAATCTGTTAATCCTGATCTCCCAAAGGCAAATTACACAGGTTATAAGGTTTGTTTTCACAATGTTCCCATGTGAGTCAGCACTGCTTCAGTTCTTAGGATATATAATAGATGCTTGTGCTTCTCTGTTTCAACTGGCTATTGTGGACCAGGGTAAGTACTCAATCAGACCAAAACTAAACAATGGTCAACTTTTAGAAAAGCTATATCGAGGAATCATTTCAATAAAACAAATAACTCAATAACAACCACCATTTCATGAAAATGGTATGCATAAATCCATCCACTCAAATGCTGATTTTTTTTTTTAAGACCATAAGAAAAAGGAACAGGAGTAGGCTCATCAGCCCCTTGAGCCTGCTGTGCTGTTCAAAGGATTATGGCTGTTTGCCCATAACCCTTGATTCCCATTCCAATCAAGAATCTATTTATCTCAGTCTTATGGATACACAATGACTTTGCCCCCATGGCTCCCTCTGGCAAGGAGTTCCAAAGAGACTCAACCCTCAATCCTCCTCCTCTGTCTTAAATTGATGCCCTTAATTCTGCGACAATGCACTCTGATCTTAGACCCTTTCATAAGGAGAAATATCATCTTGGCATTCACCCTATCAATTCCCTTAAGAATCTTGTATGTTTCAATGAGATCGCCTCTCATTCTTAATACCAGTAAGTACAGTCCCGTCCTGTTTAAACTTTACTCAGAAAATGATTCCACCATGCTAGAGATCGTCCTAGTGAGCCTTCTCTGAACTACATCCAATAAAATAAAATCTTTCCTTTAAATAAGGGGATAAAACTGCTCAGTGGTCCCAGCAGCAACTTGTACTCTTTATACTCCAACCCCCGTGAAATAAGTGCCAGCAATCCATTAGCCTTCCTGATTGCCTGCTGCACCTGTGTGCTTGCTTTGTGCGCAAGTATCCCCAAGTCCCTTTGTGTTGGAGTTTTTCTCTCTTTTTAAATAATACTGTTCTTTTGTTCTCCCTTCCAACATGAAAATCTTCATATTTTCCCACACAATACTCAGTTTGACATTTTGCCCACTTACTTAATCTGTCAGTACCTCTCTATAATCTTTGTATGCCTGCTGCAACCTGTCTTTCCACCTATTTTTGTGTAATCTGCAAATTTGCCTACAATGCATTCACTTCCTTCCTCCAAATCATTGATATAAAGTGTAAATGGTGCAGTCTCAGTACTGATCCCTGTGGAACCCCACTGGTCACAGGTTGCCAACCTGAAAAACTTATTCCCACTCTGTTTCCTGCCCATGAGCTGGTTTTCTAACGGTGCTGGTATACTACCTCTAACAAGATGGGCTCTTCTTTTGTGAGGTACCTTGTCAAACACCTCCAAATTCAGCACATCTGTTCATTCCCTCAGTCCACTCTGGTTGAGATTTCCTTAAAACTCTAATAAATTAGACATGATTTCCCTTTCTTGAAGCAATGTTGACTCTGTTTATGATTTTCCAAATTTCTGGTATTACTTCCCTAATTGATTCCAATACTTTTCCAACAATAGATGTTAAGCTATACGGGTGACACAGTGGTTAGCACTGCTGCCTCACAGCGCCATGGACCCAGGTTTGATTCCACCTTTGGGTGATTACCTGTGTGGAGGTTGTACGTTCTCCTTGTTTCTGCCAGGTGCTCTGGTTTCCTCTCACAGTCCAAAGATGTGCAGGTTAGGTGGATTGGCCATGCTAAATTGACTATAGTGTTCAGGGATGCGTAGGTTAGGTGGGTTACAGGGAAAGGGTAGGGGGATGGATCTGGGTAGGATGCTCTGAGGGTCATTAAGGACTTGTTGGGCCAAAGGGCGTGTTTCCACATTTATAGAGATTCTATGAATAGAATAGATAATTCAACTACAGTTACTCACTTTTTGCCTCCTTCCCTTTTTGAATAGGGGTGTCACATTGACAGTTTTCCAGTCTTCTGGTACTTTGCCAGAATCCAACGATTTTTTGGAAAATTACAACCAATGCATCCACTATCTCCAAGTACTACTTTTAGGATTCTAGGATGTAAACTAACAGAGTCCGGGGACTTATTTGCCTTTTTCTCTCTTAGTTTGTCTTATACTACTTATCTAGTGATGGTAGTTAATTCCTCCCCCTTACTCTTTAGGGTTAATGGGATGTTTGAGTATCTTCAACCATAAAGACTGATGCAAAATATCTGTCATTTCTTTATTCCCCAAAACTGTCTCCCCAGATTCATTTTTTAAAGGAGCTATGTTTCACTTTGACTCGTCTCTTTTTATATATTTAAAGGCGTTCTTATTGTCACTTTTTAATATACCTTGCTAGTTTGCCCTCATAGTTTTTCTGTCCTAATTGACTTTTATTTCTCCTTTCCTGGATTCTGAATTTAGCCCAGTCTTTGAGTCTTTTTGCCTCCTTTTATATTCTTTTTCTTTCAACTTCTTTGGTTAGTCATAGACTCTCAGACAGATCATCTTCCTTACTGGGATGTATTTTTGATGAGAGCTGTTGATTACCTCCTTAAATGTCTGCCACAGTTTGCTCATTGTCATTCCTGCTGATTTATTCACTCAGTTCACTTTAGCTAACTGTATCGTTGTAACTCCCCTTATTTAAATTAAACCCAGTTGTTTTCGACCCATGTTTCTCACCCTCAAACAGAATGTTAAATTCTGTCACTTATGATTTTTCTCGTATTGTTTGGTTTTTCCCAAGTTGGCACCATTTATCCTATTGATCTGTAGAAATGTAAATGAAGCAATACATTTAATATTGCCTGGAAAATGCATTCTGTTCGAAATGATTACATTAGCTAAAGATGAAGTAATCTTTAACCTTTTTTATAAAATCACACATTTGGCTGGTGTTCTATAGACCGTGTCCATCTTCCAGTCTGGTATTTGGTCAACTAGGTCATGAGCATTGAGTTAGCCATGGTTATTTTGGTAGAAATGTGAAGGTGAGTACAAGTAAATTTGATACTGCCCTCTGCCCACATGTGTAATTTTTAGTAGAGGTTGCTGGATGTCCTCTTCCATCAGAGGTAATTGTATCATTGCTCTGTCTGAGATCAGCTAACAAGCGACCGGAGGTATGGAACCAAGTTTCAGATTTTTCTGGGAGGGACTGCTTCCTGACTCCACATTTCTTCTAAAGTCCCTCATGAGGCTGTGAAATTGAGCCACTCGTGAGGAGTAAAATCTGAAACGAGGTATTGGAGTTGGATGTTTGGAACCGCAAGGTGGCTGATGAGCCTGTCTTAAGTAGCTGGTTACACCATGTTGAAGAGGAATCCGTCATGTGGCTAATGAGCTTTACCAAGACCACAGTGACTGTTGTTCAAAAGTATTACCTGGAGGCCAGGTGAATGTTCACCCATCTTGGTTTTGGTGCTTGCAATGATACGTGTTTATGAAGAGGCAAGAACGGCTACCAAGCCTTCACCTCTAGTTATCAGAGTGGATGCACCACTGGTGTCAGTATACTGGTGTCCTTTGTGGTAACGTATGAATTTTTAATAGGGTGTTGTATGGTTTCAGAAGCCCTCTAAATTTCTGCAGGCATCTGAGAGACTCTTGAGTCTTTGTTAGCTCTGATGCTGCATCTAAAATGTACATAGATAAATTTCTCCATAAGGGAGAAAGCCACTATGTCTCATGTTGGGAAATCAATGTGATTGTAAATTTCTGTGTAATTAGGTGGTAACATCTTCAGGTTGTGGTGGGCATCAATACATGGTGCTTCTCGGTGCAAAACCAACCCTAGAGCCAGACTCTCTCATCCAACAGGCCTGGCCACTTCATTGGCTGGAAAATGTCTCCGCAGGGGCTGATTTGGTAATACATCTAAAGCACAAGAGTAGGGGTCCAACTCCCATTCTAGGTCTTAGTGTGTGGGGGAGAAAAAGCAAGGCTAACACTCTCTAGTGCGTTGGGAACGAAACCACATATTTAGCTGTGTGGCCCATTTGGAAGAGTGGGTATGTTAATCCTATGTCCTGGCCATAACCGGTGCTGCCTCCAACATCCTCCTCCCCTCTTCACCCACCTTCTTCACTGCACCCCCCCCCCCCCCCCCCCCAAAAAAAAAACAAACATTTGGCCATTCTTACATCAATGTAACCCACATTGTTGGTCAGTGGTAGCTGAATACGTTAAATATTTGATCCATCTCTGGGGACTGGACCAAAGCACAAGTTTGGAAAGGCACTACGTAAATGCAGATTTTTTGGGGGAGTGGAGGTTGGTGGAGAAGTGAATTAAAATCACCTTTTATCCATTTTGAGTCAGCACCGGTTGCATTGTGTCCCTCCACTGCCACACACACACACACACACACACACACACACACACACACACACACACCTGTCTTCCAGTTGGCATCTTACTTGCCTGTACCACTCTAAACAGGTTTGGTGGAATATATTGAAAGGGGTGGTAGTGGCAGTCACCTCTGGCTTTTTTCCAAGATTACTCTCGTAGCCTTCGGGCAACCGTTGTAATTATCACACCACCCCCCACCCGGAACTAGTTGGAGCAAAACAGGTTTAAACACTAATCAGTGGTTTCTCTGGCAATGCGGAAAAAAAAATGTTTATCAGATGAGTGATCAAAGATTGCAGCTGACTTTTGCAATAAAATGTCTTTTCTTCTGGCTTTCTCCAGCTACCACTGCCCTCTGGGGCCGGTTACATTTCTGTCTGCTGTAGGTCCGCCCCAGTTCCCTGGTCTATCCTATAAAATAACCTGCGGTTCAGCTTCACATGGCACTCCCTTCACATCCCCACCAGCTCCCACTGCCTGAGCCCACTGATTCTATGGCAGTTTCTACAGTCTGCGAGAGCCCAGTGGTGGTCCCTAGCCCAGCTGTAGGAGGCATTACCCATGGTAGATTCACCATCAGTACCCACCTAGGCAAGGAAGATGACTCCAAAACCATCTACTGCCTGCCTGATCCTACCAACGACAGCATGAGTGTCAGCAGCGTGACCCAGAACAGTACCTTCTGCCTGAGAACCTTTGGCTACAACACCCTTGATGCAGTGCCCAATTACCAGCATTATTCCAAAACCCAGATGCCAGATGAGCACAAGAGGACCAGACCCAGCCTGGCAGATCTCCGCTGCTACATGATGGTAAGGCACACCCACCCTGTGAGCACTGGTGCATAATATAACATTTCCCCCAATCCTGCATCCTATCTTTTCGATTATAAAACCTTTCAGTTTCAAAGTGTTTACATATGAAGATTGTCCACAATTCTCCATTCTAATTTTTAAGTTTCTTCTAACTCTCCCCTTCAGTTTTTTTTTTTACAAAGGCATTCTTGAGTATAATTTTCCACTTTGTCAGAAATTCATCTTTAATTCACAGTCTTCAAACATTTCTATCCACTTTATTAAATTGCACCTTTTACATTGAACTTCATTGAGTTTTTCTACCTCTTTTTACCTTTAGGATCCTTTAAAGTCGTAGAGTTGTACAGCATGGGAACAGGCCCTTTGGTCCAACTCATCCATGCCGACCAGATATCCTAAAATAATCTAGTTTCATTTGCCAACATTTGGTTCATGTCCATATAAGCTCTATCTAAATTCATATTCAAATTCATCTAACCCATCTAAATTCATATACCCAACCAGTTGCCTTTCTAAATGTTGTAATAGTACCAGCCTCCACCACTTCCTCTGGCAGTTCATTCCATACGCACACCACTCTCTGCATGAAAAAGTTGCCCCTTAGGTCCCTTGTAAATCTTTTTCCTCTCAAATTAAACCTATGCTGTCTATTTTTGGACTCCCCCCCCCTCCCAGGAAAAAGACTTTGTCTATTTTCCCTATTCATGCCCCACATGATTTTGTAAACTTCTATAAGGTCACCCTTTAGCCTCTGACTCTCTAGGGAAAATAGCCCCAGCCTATTAAGCCTCCCACTCACTAGTAAATAGATCATTGTTCCATAAATTGTGACTATTGTAATCAAATGTCAGTCTTTCAAGCAAGCATCAGTTATGCTGATTTCACGCAGTTCTCATTGTGTCATTTATTTAATTAGTGAGATGGGGCTGTCACTGACTCAGTCAGCATTTATTGCACATTCCTAATCATGGAATCATGCAGTGTGGAAGCAAGCTATTTGGCCTATCGAGTCCACAGGGACCCTCCAAAGAGACCGCTAACCTATCCTTGTAATCCTGCATTTCCCATCGCCAGCTAACCTGCACATCTTTGGACTGTGGGAAGAACCCAGAGCACCCTAAAGAAACCCACGGAGACACGGGGAGAATGTGTAAACTACACATAGTTGATGGAGGATGGAATTGAACCTGGGACCCCCAGGCGCTGTAAGGCAGAAATGCTAACCACTGAGCCACCATGCCGATGAATGGAGGGATTTTTCACATGAAGAGAGAGTTAAGTAGGTTGGGTCTGTACTCATTGCAGTTTAGAAGAATGGGACAAGATCTTATTGAAACAAATAAGATTATTAGAGGGCTCAACAGCTTAGATACAGAGAAGCTGTTTCCCCTTGTGGGAGAGTCTAGGGCCAGAGGGTGTAATCTTAGAGTAAGGGGCTGCACATTTAGTCAGAGATAAGTGGGTGAGGTTTCCTCCTTAGAGGGTAATGAATCTGTGGAATTCTTTGCCAAGGTGTCAAGGGTGTGTCATTAAGTATATTCAAGGCTGAGACTGACTTTTTAATCGGTAGTGAATCAAGGGCTATTGGGGATAAAGTAGGAAAACCTGAGTTGAGGCTAATTAGGTCAGACATGATCTTACTGAATTGGAGTAGACTTGATGGGCTGAATGGCTTACTTCTGGTCCTAAATCTTATGGCCTTGGTTGTCCCTGAGAGGTTTGTAGTGAGCTATCTTCTTGAAACATACATCAAATAATTGAAACACAGTGCGAGTTTCACTGGACAAGTCGCCCAACTTTTTCTGATTACGCTAAGGCGCACAGTCACTCATTGGATTGTCACCCAGAGTTGGCTGCCATTTTCAATATCGTTAAAATGTGTTTCTTTGTGGACGAGAGTTTTAAAATCTACAATCACAATCCTAATCCTAGTTCTGTTCTGAAGTCTCACCTCAAACCTTACAAACAGCTACTGAGCTGGATTCTCACTTCCATGCTGTTCCACCTCAAACTCTCTCCTTCTGAAGTCGTAACCTCATTGTTATTTCATTACCTATCTTAATTGAAGGGCAAAATGTGGTCCTAAAAAAGACACAATTCTTGGAGAATTGTAGCACCCTGGAATGTCAGAACAGAGCTCATGTTTAAGAAAGGAGTAAGACCACTATTTAAAATTTTGTCTTTAGTTGGGGAAGCTCTGTGCTCATGAAGGTCATAATATAAACATGGTTCTGTTTGACCAGAAACTAGATCAGCTTCTTTAGCTGTAATCATTTAATGGTCTGCCTGCAAATCCTAGAAGTTGGCAGTGATATCCAGTCCTAACTCCAGAGAACTAGATTCATGCTGACAGCTTGTTGTAAAGGAAAATGCAAGCTAGGTGACTATTGGACAAGTGTTAACTTTAAGCTTAAAATTCAATACCACAAAAATAGATCAAATAAATCAACTGAAGAAAAGTCATTTCATACTCAAAATGTTAACTGTTTCTCTCTCCCACTGAGTGTCTCCAGCATTCTGAGTTTATTACTTCATTTATCTTCTATGCTGTTCTTCTACCTTCCTCTGCACTTTTTGGCTGCTAACGATGGAGACAAATTCCAAAAATAATTTTTGAAAACATGTTTATAGGATGTGCACATGGCTGGTTAGGATAGCCTGTCCCTAGTGCCTTGTGAGCAGTTACGAGTCCAACACATGCTGTGATCTGGAGTCATATGGAAGCCAGACCAGGTGTAAATGGTAGATTTCCTTCCGTGAAAGGCATTGGTGAAACAGATAGCCTTTTACGACAATTGACCATGGTTAGACAGCCCCATTAGGCTGGCTTTTTATTCCAAAGTTTTATTAATTTTCACTATTTACCACAATGGGATTCAATCCCATTTCCCCAGAACCTGGGGTTCTGCATAACTAGTTCTGTAATACTGCCACTAAGCTGTAGCCTCCCCTGATTTTGATAACTGGATTCTTCAGATGTTACACCTGAACCAACTGTCTCTCTCCCCACAAATGCTGCTGAGTTTCTCCAGCACTTTTTTTTTTATTTCAAAACTAGTTTACTGTTTGTAAAGCACATTGGGGACATCCGAAGATGTGAAAGTCACTATAAAAATGCATACACATTCTTCCATTTAACAAAACTGATTTTTTTTTTTCCCCCCCACATTTGTCTGATGTTTTGAAACACAGCCTCATATTATTGAGTTATCCAACAGATCTGAGCCAATGTCATGGAAACCAAATAGTTAAAGTAAACTGATAAAAGATATGTGCAGTTAAGATGTCAGTGGCAGCCATTTATTGCCAGTCGTGAGGTGAGACCTGGGCATGACCATGGGTAAGTTGTAGGCCTGTATCTGACAGAGCAGTGGGCAGTGTGACTTTTTAAATAGGTTACCATCATCGGAATGTAGAGTAAATTGATAAATAATGCAACCCTGGAAATATTGGCAGGTTCAAAAGCAAATTGAAAAGAAACAACAGTTTCGTGTTTTGTGTTGCACACCTCTCAAAACAGCATTTTCTGGTCCTGTTTCTGATTTTTAACCTTTGCAATTTTTTTTTTGAGGGGAGGTTCTTTTTTATGTGGTGAATGCAGAATAGTTTCTTTTGGAATTCTGTGTTTGTGTTTCATTCAGTCCTCTACCCAATGCCCACTGATGGAACCTGGATAATTCTTGATACTGTGTTCTTGAAGTTATTGTATAATCTTTCAGGAAATGGGACAACATCCACCCCCAATGAATGAGATTAGACCTGACGATGAATGTGGCAAAGAAAGGGAGGTGGGGTTGAGTAACAGTAAGCTTGCAGAAGAACCTGTCCGATTTGGCTGGATAAAAGGTGTTATGGTATGTTTAATTTATTTTTTGTACCTGTGTCCTCAATTTAAAAAGTGCACCACAATGTTAACTCCAAGGATGTTTTCTCTTGACTGCTAATTAGTTTTTATGCCTAGAATTCCATAGCAACTCTCATCACTGTCTTGAAGACACAGAACACATTTATACTGTTGATACATTATGATGGATTGATCAATCATTGCATTGTGTGTCCAGTAGTAAGAGACAACTACAAAGTTATCTCTGCCAAACTGTAAATCTCAAGATTTATTTTTGAACTTTTTTTTTTTTAATCTACTCTTGTTTAAAGCAATTGAAGCAGTCCATGCCTATTTGCTGCTGTTTCTGGGCCACATTCAGGCCTGCGCTGATCAGTGGTGAGTTACGTCTGTCCTTGATATTAGGTAACAAGTGACCAAATATGGCACCAGGGAGTGCTCAAAAAATGTTAGTCGAAGGGATTCAGGGGAAGGCTTTCAATTATTTAGCACAAAGGAGGATAGTAGTGGTTATTGGAAGTCAATTGTCACATCCCTAGTTTCAGGAGTTCTTCAGGGTAGTGCCCTAGATACCCATTTTCAGCTGCTTCATCAATTACCTTATGGGCGAGCATGTTAGTCAACAATTGCACAATGTTTAGCACTATTCGCAGCGCCTCAGATACAGAAACATTGTGTCTATATGAAGAGACCGAGGATTGGGAAGAGCTTAGAAGTCAGCAAAGGATAACCAAGGGATTGGTTAAGAAGGGGAAAATAGAGCATGGGAGTAAGCTTGCAGGGAGCTGGATGTAAAAGTTTCTATAGGTATGGAAAGAGGAAAAAAAAGGTGAAAACTGATGTAGGTCCCTTACAGTCAGAAACCAGGGTAATTATATTGGGAAAGTATGGCTGATGAACCAAATTCTTCATTTGTGTTCACTTAGGAGGTCATGAATAACATACCAGAAATGATGGGGGACATGGTTTATTGTGAGAGATGAACTGAAGCAAAGTGTTTTTGGATATAGAGAAGTGGTGGTGGGGAAATTGATGGGATTGAAGGCTGATAAATCCCCACTGCCTGATAATCTACATCCCAGAGTACTTAAGGAAGTGGCCCTAGAAATATTGGATGCATTGGCAGTCATCTTCCAAGATTCAGACAAGAGTGTAGTGACATGTTTCAGTAAGGTGAACAAGAAGAAACAACATAGAAGTCTATTTGAAAAGGGATGCGGGAGCAGAAGGACCTGGGGTGTATGTGCATCGGCCTGCAGGACAATTTGAGAAGGCAGTTAACAACACATATGGCCTTTATAAATAAAGGCATGAAGTACGAGGCTATGATGAATTGCTATGAAGCACTGGTTCAGCCTTAACCTGGAGTATTGTGTCCAATTCTGGACATCACACTTTAGGAAGGATGTGTAGGCATGGTAGTTGCGTGAAAACATTTTACAAGACTCGTCCTGAGGCTTAGGGTTTTCATTTATGGAGATAGATTGGTGGAGCTGGGGCTGGTCTCTTTAGAGAAGAGAAGCTTGATGGAGACTTAATAGAAGTCTTCAAAAAAAATCTTGAGGGGTCTGGACGGAGTAGACAGAAAAACCATCCCCTTTGATGGAAGGATTGAGAAACAGAGGTACTGATTTAAACTGATTGGGAGAAGAGGCAACGGCAACAGAAGAAGCTTCCATATGCAGTGAGTGTTTTGGATCTGGAATACACCCCCTGAGAATTTGGTGGCAGATTCAAACGTGGCTTCCAAAAGATGACTGGACAATTAACTGAAGAGAAATTTGCAGGACTACGAAGAACAGACAGGAGAAGTGGGATCAGCTGGCTAGCTCATACAGAGAGCTGCAAGAAGCTGACCATTTTATGATGACATAATTCTATAAGTTTTACTTGGAAATCAGTTCCCCACTGAAGGAAACTTCCCCTTTAATTTGTGCTAGGAGGGTGACTTTCCTAAAGCATGGCATGTCATTATTGTTTCTGTTTCTCCTTTTGCATAGATTCGATGTATGTTAAATATTTGGGGTGTTATCTTGTATTTGCGATTGTCATGGATTACTGCACAAGCAGGAATAGGTAAGGCTACACCTGTGAACGTGAAAATATGTTAGATTTCAGTGATCATTAAAAAGCAATTAGTATCAACATCTGAATCTATTGTATTGATAAAGGGAAAAAATGTAATTTGTTTTGGTAGCAATGTTTCAATATGTAAAATCTTAAAGAAAAGGCAAATCTAGAGTATGTACTCTGATGTGAATATTGTACACATCAAATACAACTTTTTCTAATATATGTTAAAGTAATTCCACAGGATGTTTGTGGAAAGCCAGTGGGTTAATAAAATGGATGGTGTGCTACTGAACTTGATAATAGTGCCTTCTCTTTGTTGAGTTAGCTGACCTTGCATTTAGAAAGAAGAGATCAGTTAGGATTTCCTCTACTGATTGTCACTTACAAATGACATAGCAAGAAAATGCTTATGTTTAGAGAGGACCAGGCATGACTCAACTCAGTTGTCATGTCCCTGCAGACACTGGGTTGCGGTTTACAGTCCCACTGCTGGATATGTTTTTAACAGGGGGTGAGGAGTGATTAACCCAGTACTCCCACTCTCCCTGACATAGTTGCCATGCAATGGTAGACAGGTGAGCTCTGAAATAATCAGCCTGCTTGCCATTTTTTACAAAAATAACTACCTGACATTTGAGATAAGTGTGGAGCTGGAGGAACACAGCAGGCCAGGCAGCATCCTGACATTTGATCTAGTTTACAAACCAGTTAACTCCTATTTTGTTGCCCTCACCACTGTATAGTTGTACGTTGGCCTTTTTAATCCATCTGGTTAAAAGGAGAGGCGAAAGGTGAGATTTTGCCCTTCACTGGGGGGTGGGGAGGCAGTATACACTGTACACCATCAGGGGCATTGCCCTCAACCTCTCTGGGATGTTACCTCCTGCTTTGCCACCTCCCACCTTCCCTCCACCCCCCACGCCTCCTTGCACTCCTACCCGCACTGCCCTCAAGGTTCCCTGATCCTTCCTGTCCAAAAGCCCAGATCTGCTATAAGGCAACAAGGTGCAGGGCTGGATGAACACAGCAGGCCAAGCAGCATCATAGGAGCACCTGGTTGTCTCGGATTCTCCAGCATCTGCAGTTCCTACTATCTCCAGCCCAGATCTGCTGTTCTCTAGAGTCCAGTCCTCTTCGTCAGGGGCACTGATCCTTGTAGTGTTGGACCAGTAGTGGCCAATACTGAGGTCTGGTGCTGGTACAATCAGATTGGTCGCTAGAGAATGGCACGCACTCCCATTGGGGTCATGGAATTTCAACCCTCGGCTCCTTAAGGACATCCAGTGGATGTTATTATCGAGAAGTGGGCTTGTTTAAATTGTTTGGTTTGGGACTGATGGTTCTTCTGAGGTGATGTCTGGAGCAGGTGATGGCCTAATGGTATTATTGCTGCACTGTTGACCCAGGTAATATTCTGGGGACCCAGGTTCAAACCCTGCCATAACGGATAGTGGAATTTCAAATCAATAAAAATCTTGAATTAAGAGTCTAATGATGGTGAATCCATTGTCAATTATCAGATAAACCAAATTGCCCTGTAGTGTGCAGGGTATCTGGGTTAACTATAGTCAATCTGGGCTTACGGGGATAGGATGGGAAACTCGGAGGATCAGTGTAGACTCAATGGGCTGAATGGTCTCTGTCTGCACTGTAGACATTGTGATCTAGACTACATGTGACTCCAGACCCTTAGCAATGTCATTAATTCTTACCTGCCCTGTGGCCAATTAGGAATGGGCAATAATGTTGACCTAGCCAGCAACCCCCTCAAGCCATGAATGAATTTTTTTTAAAAAGAGGAACATAGGTGAGGAACATAACCAGCTTTTTCATGTTTCTGTTGCAGAATTCCTCTGTTACTAAACAGTGACATAAGAAGGGAAAGCATAATAGAAAGAGGCAGCAGAAATGAAGCACATTACTGGTTCTGTTTAAATTAAGCACAGGATTTGGTGATGAGCACTACATCTTCACACATCCCCTCTTGACTGTAAACTTCAGCTCGCCCATTTGAAATGGGGCTTGCAATGACAAAAATGGGTGTTATATGTATGCAACTTTGTGTAGTTTGCTCCATTATAGCTACACTTGTGTATACTGTGCTGTAAGTTATAAGTGCTGGGAAGACAATAATGGCGCAAGAGGATGTTTTTGTCGGGTTAAGTTTGAGATGCATCACAATTATCAGTTGATGATAAAAGTGAATCGAAGAGCAGCTCTTGCCAGGCTGAAAGGACAGCTGAAGAAAGACTTGAGAGAAGAAATTGGAAGTGAAGTGACATTCAATTCACTGTCAGAGGGTCAGAGCTTTAGAGTTAATGCTGCCTGAGGCTCTTGCTATGAGGGATATCCTCTACACCATTCTCTGGCACATTTCTTCTAGGTTGATTTTAGCAGCATTTTTATGAGAACTGGCACCCGGTTTCGTGCCCGAGTTTATTATTATTAGCTGCATGGCAACTGCATCTGGTTCTCTGACCTGAACGTTTAGAGACAGCCATCAATCAAACAAGCTTTATACGGGCCTGCATGTTACTGTGGAATTTGGATGTGGTTAATCGTTGTTGGATATGTTGTCACAGTGGCATTTTGATAGGTGGCATAGAACTACCCAAGTCTAACAAACTTATTGTATTTTTGTGAAACACCTTCAGCTTAAGAACTCCAATTCTTCCTAAATTCCACCATGACCTACTCAAAGCAACCGGAAATGGACAGTGAATACATCTTGCTTGAATCATTTATATCCTGAGAATAAGGTTTTGAAAATAAAGGCAGAGCAGAAATTGGGAAAGTTAGGGCCACAACCCACCTCCAAGGCAATTAATGTCTTTACATTTTAGGCAAGAGGGCTAGCAGAAGTTGTTTTGTGAAAAGCAATCTCCTGGCCACTTCTTACATCCTGCTGCTACCATTGCTGTGTCCAAGTCGGCAAGGAACTGATCACTGAACCAGCAACTTCTGTTTTAATTGTTACATCTGCTGGAGCCTCTCTTTTTGATTCACTTTCACTTATTTAAAGAGCAAGCAATGCTCCAAATCTGTCAATGGAATTACATGTAAAATGACCTTGCATTCCTACAATTTATGATAGTGATTTTCTTGTATTGCAGCTTTTCTGAAATTAATACAAGCTGTTTAGCTATAATTGATAGTTTAATCTTGCATTAGATAGAATATGAATGAATAAAATCCTATCAGGGTTTAAAAATCATATGGCCTCTTCACAAATTTTTCTGAAGAGCAATGAAAATGTCTATTTTCCCATTATAGTGGTAAAAATCCATGAGCGTGCGTATTTCCTATTAGATAGGAATGTTACATAGCATGTATGATACAGATACAGACCATTCTGCCCACTGACCCTGTGCTGGTGTTAGTGCTTAAAATTCCACCCCACCCTTGGCATGACGAACATGTTCTTCTGTGGCACTGACTCCAGAAGAAGTAAATGACTTGCATAACAGCCTTGCAGGTGAAGCACAAAATAAAAGTCTAATTTTGTATCTAGAGTAGCATAGTGTAGCGTAATCTCTCTATCCAAACAATTAACAGTAGTTCCTCTGTCATATAATTGGGCAATCGGTCAAAGCAACTGTGGGTCTAATGGACTTTTCTTATTTGTGATTCTTGGTTGTAAGCATGTAAGTATAAAATACTGTGTATTTTCCAGTGGTGATGAAAGCACAAATAAATTTGGTTTTGTTCCCTTCCATTGCAGCTTTAACATGGTTAATCATCATTATGTCCGTAATTGTAACCAGCATTACAGGTCTGTCCATATCAGCAATATCTACAAATGGCAAAGTCAAATCAGGTATTCTTTGATTCTTGCTTCCTCACAATACTTCGTATTGTTCCATCAACCAGAGCTTTATATTGTCCGTGCCTGCCATTGAGAATTTGTAGTGAATGTAAGCCAGCAGTGACCGGGTCAATGGGTTGATAATATTTGTTGCAGGATAGGATATGGTAATAGAGTTTTGATTCAGATGAAGATTATATGATATCAGTTGTCAGCCATGTCTCCATTGGGAACACTCTTGCCTCTGGCCCTCAACTTGGATTGAAGTCCCATTTCAGGACTTGGGAACGAAAAGACAAACTTGTCATAAAAGGGGTGTTGGAGGTGCTATCTTTTGGATAAGAAACAAATCAAAGGCCACATCTACCCGCTGAGCTGGTTGTAAAAGATCTAATGACTCTATTTTGAAGCAGAACAGAGTAGTTTTCCTCAGTTCCTCGCTAATATTTACCATTCAATCAACATCCCAAAATCAGATAATCTCCCTATTTATGATATTGCAGTTTGTGGGAGTCTGTGAGCACAACTTGGCCATTGCATTTCCCACATTATAGCAGTGCCAACACTTCAAAAGTACTTTCTCGGCTGTAAATCTTTGAGACATTTGGTGCTTGTGAAAGGCGCTACATAAATGCGAGCCTCTCTTTCCCTAGCTGATCTGTCATTGTTGCAGAAAGGGTTTACAGAAGTGAAATCTTTGTAATGGAGGGGAATAAAAGTTAGAATAAATGAGGAATCTCGGCACTATATTCAATTCCTAATAATCTGCTGTGGCCAAAGACAGTGGCTAGGGAGTGGGGTAGATTGTTCTTCAGCCAAAGGTTGTGAGAGAGGTCAATGTTAATCGTTTGTGTCTTCTCCGTGTTTAGCTGGTGGGAAATGCAGTTCATCCAAGACTCTGTGTTGGGCAGACACCAACTTAACATGGTGGCAGTTAGAGTGCTCTCAACACGTGAATAAATTTAAAAAAAGAGAAACGTAGGTCAGGAACATAACCAGCTTTTTCATGTTCCTGTTGCAGAATTCCTCTGTTCCTAAACAGTAACATAAGAAGGGAAAGCATAATAGACAAGGGCAGCAGAAATGAAACACATTACTGGTTCTGTTTAAATTTAAGCACAGGATTCGGCTGGATGAGTACAAATTATAAACATAAGGATCTGCTCTCATTTCCCCAAGACAAAATCATTAACAACAGGAATGTATTTTCGGAATTTGTTCCCTGTTGAAGACCTTGTCATAGATTCATAGAATCTTACAGCACAGCGACAGGCCCTTTGGCCCAAACAGGTCCATGCTAACCAAAATCCACGCTCACCCCATTTCCCTGCACTTGGCCCATATCCTTCTCAACCTTTCCTATCCATGTATTCGTCCAAACACCTTTTAAATGTTGTTAATGTACCTGCCTCAACCACTTCCGCTGGCAGCTCGTTCCATATGCTTACCACCCTCTGTGTTTTAAAAAAAAAGTTGCCCCTCGGGTCCCTAAGAATTCTTTCCCCTCTTACCTTAAACTCATGTCCTCTAGTCCTTGATTGCCCAGCCCTGAGAAAAGACTGAGTCTATTCACCCTATCCATGCCTGTCGTGGTCTTATACACTTCTATAAGATCTCCCCTCCATCTCCTACGCTCTAAAGAGAAATGTCCTAGCTTGTCCAACCTCTCCCTATAACTCAGTCGCTTGAGTCCTGATAACATCCTTGTAAATTTCTTCTGCACGCTTTCCAGTTTAGTAACATCCTTCCTATAGCAAGGTGACCAACACTGAACACAATACTCCTCCAACGTCCTGTACAACTGTAACATAACTTCCCAACTTCTGTGCTCAGTGCCCTGACTGATGAAGGCCAGTGTGCTAAAAGCCTTCTTCACTGCCCCGTCTACCTGTGACTCCACTTTCAGAGAATCATGCACCTGAACCCCAAGGTCCTTCTTCCACTACACTCCTTAAGGCCCGACCATTCACCATGAAACTCCTACCATGATTTGACTTTCCAAAATGTGACACCTCACACTTGCCTATATTAAGCTCCATTTGCCATTTCTTGGCCCACTTCCCCAACTTGTGTTTGCCCTTTGTGTTTACAGTAAACTGGCTTTTGTTTCTGTGTTGTTCAGGTGGTACATATTTCCTTATCTCAAGGAGCCTCGGCCCAGAGCTTGGAGGCTCCATTGGGCTCATCTTTGCTTTTGCAAATGCGGTGGCAGTTTCCATGCACACTGTTGGCTTTGCTGAGACTGTGAAAGATCTCCTTGTTGTAAGTTGGATTCATTTCAATTCTGTGTCGCAGTATTTTTGTTGTTTGAAAGAGCCATAAATACCAATTGTAGCCTTGTTCCGGTCCACTCTTTGAAATATGCGAGCACGGCTGTGACACCAAATGAACACAAGGATGGAATTTGGCACTCATGGTCTCCCCCATCCCCCTGTAAGGTTACATACTCTCACTTTCCACCACAGACACTTCCTCAGTGAAGACCAAGTATTCCCCCAAAGTCTAGGAGGGGGTGGGATACCATTAGACCAATTGCTCTAACAGAGTCATTAGAGATGTACAGCATGGACACAGACTGGGAAATAAAACCAAAGATCTCATTTTTTTAATTCAATCATTTTACTGTTTAGGGAGATGGATTAGCGCTCCTACCAAATAGAATTTCTTTGCTTTCTTTTGCCAGAAAGCAACCAATAGAGGCATAATAATGGTGAGTTTCAGTTTTGTCAACATTTCACACCGAACTGGGTTCAGAGATACATTGAGCAAGAGGATTGTCAGGTCACAGGTGAGGGGCAGGTCAGGGTCTATTGCAAATGTACTTAGCTTGATACCTGCAGAGTAAAGATTCCACGCATTCTTTAACTCGCAAAGATAACCCAGAATTAACGGATTGTTGGCAATAAAAATAACATATCTCTGAGTCATGACATCCATTCATCTTGGGAGACAATGTACTGCGCCTGGGTGTCACTTCCAAATTACTCTGTTCTAGCTGTAGAGGCTGAATTGCAGTGACTTGAAGAACATTGGCCTGAGGTTGACTGAGGAGTTCTTTCTCCCCCCAGCTGCTTCCCTTTTCTGTTCTCTACATTTCTACCCAGTTCCTGACCACTTGCATGTAGCAGCGGCAAAGAATTTCCATGTACCGATTCCAAACTCTGGAGCCTCTATCAGAGGTCTTCATTTTTCAGACGTAGGTGAGCACTGTTGGAATAGAATATCCTTTATTGTCATGTGGACTCGATACAGAAGTACAGGAGTGAAAAGTTTACACTGTCACCCCATATGGCACTATCTTAGGTACTAAGTACCTAGGTACAGATCTTAGATACAGAATATAGAAACAAAGGGAAAAAGAAAGGGGGGAAGAAAGTAATGTTACTTATAGCTGTTGATAATATAAGTTAGAAAAATGAGAATAAAGTTTAAAAAGAGAGGCATTGCAGTCTTTCCATAAAGGGCCTGCAGTAGATCAGCGCAGGGGGCTTCCACACATGGTCTGCCCAGCTTGCAAGCCGCTGATCGCCTATACCCGTCCCCAGATCAACAACTGTCCCCACTTCGCTCGGGTCTCCGCCTGCTTTGCCTCAGGAGAGAACACCGAGGGGGGAGAAAGAAAACAGGAAATAAACAGAAGGAGTGGAAGCGTTCCGTTTGGAGTGTCCTTTGCCACCATCTTGACCAGATACACACTATACTGAATTTGCTATCGTACACAAGGGTATCTTTGGGAATGCTGTGCTCATCCATTGCCTCACGTGAGCTAGCCAATGGAATTACCACTGATTCCAGAAGGCAAATGTGCTGGACATCACTGCACCCTGATGTACTTCTATGTTCGGCACATTGTCTCACCATAGGAAGAGGATTGATGAGGGCAGAGCCGTGGACGTGTTCTATATAGACTTCAGTAAGGCATTCAACAAGGTTCCTCATAGTAGACTGGTTAGCAAGGTTAGATCACATGGAATATAGGGAGAACTAGTCATCTGAATACAGAACTGGCTCGAAGGTAGAAGACAGAGGGTGGTGGTGGAGGGTTGCTCAGACTGCAGGACAGTGCCCAGTGGTGTGCGAGAAGGCTTGGGGCTCGGTCCACTTCTTTTATGTCATTTATAAATGATTTAGATATGAGCATAGGAGGTATGGTTAATAAATTTGCAGATGACATCAGAATTGAAGATATAGTGAACAGCGAAGAAGGTTACCTCAGAGTACAACAGGACCTTGATCAGATGGGCCAGTGGGCCGAGGAGTGGCAGATGGGGTTTAATTTAGATAAATGTGAGGTGCTGCATTTTGGAAAGGCAAATCAGGGCAGAACTAAACTTAATGGTAAGGTCCTGGGGAGTGTTGCTGAACAAAGAGACCTTGGAGTGCAAGTTCATAGTTCCTTAAAGGTGGAGTCGCAGGTCGATAGGATAGTGAAGAAGGTGCTTAGTATGCTTTCCCCTATTGGTCAGTGCATTGAGTATAGGAGTTGGGAGGTCATGTTGTAGCTGTACAGAACATTGGTTAGGTCACTTTTGAAATACTATGTTCAATTCTTGCTATAGGAAGGATGTTATGAAACTTGAAAGGGTTCAGAAAAAATTTACGAGGATGTTGCCAGAGTTTGGAGGGTTTGAGCTATAAGGAGAGACTGGGGCTATTTTTCCCTGGAGCATTGGAGATTGAGTGGTGACTTTTTAGAGAGGTTTATAAAATCATGAGGGACATGGATAGGATAAATAGGGCAGGTGGGGGAGTCCGAAACTAGAAGGCTTAGGTTTAAGGAGAGAGGGGAAAAATTTAACTGACGTGACCTAAGGGGCAGAGATAGTAAGAACTGCTGATGCTGGAGTCTGAGATAACAGTGCGGAGCTGGAGGAACGCAGCAGGCCGGGCAGCATCAGAGGAGCAGGAAAGCTGATGTTTTGGGTCAGGATCCTTCAGGGCTTTGTATTTTTAGTTGATTTATTCCGTCTCGACTTTGACATAGCAACAGTGGCTTTGGCAATCCTGGTGCCAATTTCAACCTCCAGGGACACGTAACTGTTGATCCAATGTATGTGAAGTTGTCAGTGACCTCCAGTGTGGGCTTGTCCATGTTGATAGAAGGTGGGAAATTTACCTCGTGTCCGTAACATTGGTCTTTCTGATGCTGATTGTCAACCCAAGCTTTTCTCAGGTCCGGGAGAACTGATCTACAAGCTGTCACAGATGAACGACAGGGTTGGATGCCAGTGCAGTTACACAGTTTTGTCTTGGCACGTAGTTGAACAGCTGTCTGCTCTGGTGTGCAGATTAACTCCCCATACAACAGCAGCACGAAGAGAAATCGGCTGAAGAGTGTTGGTGCCAGGATGCAGCCCTGCTGTACCCCAGAGCTGATCTGGAAAGTTTCCAACGAGGCTGTATTGTAACTTATGAAACTCTGATGTTCTCATGGAATTGAATAAAAAATGCCGATGAGTCCATGTGGGCAGCCTATTTGCCACACCAGTTTAAAGTATCTGTCTCTACTGAAAGATTGAAACCCTTGTTGAGGTCTGTGATGATGTGGCCTGCAATGTTCACAACAATCCCCTCTAACTGATGAAATGAGAAAACCATATCAACTATCAACCTGCCAGTTCTGAAGCTGCATGGAGAGTCCGGATAGTCGCATAATACGAGAATCTACAATCTGGTCACAGCAATGAGAGCAAGCACCTTCCAACAACATGCAACAAGGAGGTCCCTCACTCACTGACTGCAGTCACCAAGATTCCTATTGTTCTTGACCAAGTTTGACTATTTTTGCATCTAGCGTGTTCTGAGGCACAAATCTTCCCTTCCAGTCGTGATGGACATGTTACATTAAATTAAATTCAATTAAAGGCCCATTGGCAGTAAAATAACAAAATACTGTGTATTCAGCAACAAAACATGTTTTCAATGTAGAATTTCATTCCATGAACTAAACTGATGAAAAATCAAACAAATTAAATCAAATAAATTAGTTTATGTTATGACCTATATTAAACCTAATTAACAAACGAATGAAATACCTGCTTGGGCTGCTTAATTCAAATTGATTATTGTTGACTAATTTCTATTTTCTATTGCTAGATTAATCTCAGAATGCTGACTAGCTTGGAAATTCACTATTCTCTGGTGCTTGCACTCATTCAGAAATCCTACAAAATGATCTCCGTTCCAGACAAACCTCAATAATTATCTTAATGACCAGTTTTCTGAAACTCTGTACCAGCTTTTGCATAACAGGTTTCAGAGTTACCTGACTTAATGTTGTCTATAATCCTGATGTGTTATATTTAAATGGCCCATTTCTGCATTATTTCGCTAATAGAATCCATTGTTAGAATCTCCAAAACAGCAGGTAACTTTTTCAGTACAGCATTTTATGTGAATGTGTCTATGATTTGTTGTGGTCAGTGTAATTATGCCGCAGGAAGAAACCAATCTGAATTACTTAAGATCAGTTGTTGAGTTTAACTTTTTGCAGAAAAACATTTTTACAAGAGTGTGCTATCCCTGATTGCAGTTGTCCTTAGCACCGCAAGAATAGCCCTCATAATCAAGCCGAATACACAGAGTGTATGTATGATGACAATATGTTGATTGAAACTCTAACTCCATAAGCCATCAAGGTCAGAATGTCTATTTTCAGTTCTAGTGTTGTTCACTTGTGACACTGCAGGCTCCTACGAATCTAAACACTTTAACCTTTCAATAGGAATACAATGCAACAATTATGGACCCCACAAATGATATACGGATTATTGGAGTCATAACGGTGACCGTGCTACTTGGGATTTCACTGGCTGGAATGGAATGGGAAGCCAAGGTAAAGCCATTGGAATTTATAATATTACGGAAGTTTTGAGTCTCTGTAATCAATCAATTTTAAAAAGTTTAAATCTTTACTTTTATTTGGCAGATACTGTATTAACAAGTCCTTGTTTGTACTTGGTTGTTTACTGTACTTTATCCTTATTTAGGTTAGACATGCACCATATTGTACCCTCATGTTTAGGGAGATTGACAAATGTTCTCACTGACCTTGCTGCTTCTGAGCTGACTGCAATAATGTGGATTTAGGTCCCTGTTGTGACTTGTTCGACTTAATTTTTTATTTTCTCTCTGCTCACAGTAAAGAACTTGAGCAATGACTGGCTCTTCCAGCAGCAGAATTCAGCGATCTCACTTGTGTAGGATCATGGTTGCAAATCCATGTCTGGCAATGGCACAGCATGGTCATTGGAACCAGCAACATGTGCAAAGTGCCGAAGCACTAGATGACCAGTGTTGTTTCAAATTGTGTTTGCTATCAAGCGTTGCACATTGGAATGTCTTACCATTGAAAGCTTAAAGACTGAAGTTATTGTCATTTTGCTGTTAGTAACAATGGAGTATTCTTTTGAATGTTAGGGTTTACGGCATTAGTTTACTGGTATGAGTGATTCATTAAGAATATGATCAAAACATCCACACAAAGAATTAGAGATTTGTCTTCCCTTCCATCAATATATATTCCTACCCTTTGTAAGCTCAGCTAGACTTGAATTCAGGGCCATTGCTAAAATGATCGGTGTGATGAGGTATCATGGGATAGGACAAAGAATAAACTCCGCATATTGCTCCTGATGTGACACCATGTACATTTTATATAGTGCCTTTTGGTGGCCAACACAAGCTCAGTGGACATGGAAGTAGTCTTGGTCAAAAATGCAAGCTTCAAAAAGGTTTCTCTTGTTCCTGAGGAACAAAATGTAAGGACTTGGAGAATTCCAGAGTGGATCCAAGATGTCAGAATGCTCAATGGCCTCAACAGCAGTCAAGCTTTTTAGTTATAAGTTTATGTTGTTATTCTTTGAACTGTATTTCAGATGTTATATTTTTCTCATGCTATTTAATAAGATTCAGTATAGGAAAATTAAAACATTTTTGTAACTGTATACATGTCATTTTCAGAGTTGCTAGATGGAAGTCTGTTTTTGCAGTGTTTTTGACCAAGGAGTGAAATGAAGCAATAATTTAGCATTATTTGCATCATCCACTTCATTGATCCCACCATCTTGAGTTATTAGCTGTAGTGTTGGAGCAGGGCTACAACTTTTCCATTGCTTTCTGCTGTGAAGAATGCCCTTCTGTCTTTTCCTTTCTGATAGGCACAGGTTGGCTTCTTCTTTGTGATCATGGTTTCCTTTGCAAACTACATTGTGGGGACGTTTATCCCAGCATCGAAAGAAAAGCAGGCCAAAGGCTTTTTCAACTATAGAGGTGTGTACTTAGCAACCTCCACAGGTTAGAAACCTTATTTTCAAGCTACATTTTCTTAAGGCCCACCCCCACCCCCCTTTTAATTATTGCATCTAGATAAACATAGTCAATGCATTAAGGAGTTTTAGGGCACATTTATGACGACATGTATGTTGGAGCGCAGACTGCTGTTATTCTGCAGATTGTGTGCCCAACGTGGGGATCTACAACCTGCCTCCATGCCCTGGGTTAGGGAATAGGCAAATCAGAGTTGTTTGCTGCTCCTGACCTTTGCTGGAAAATAGGCACAAGTGGCTGTTGAATGAAGATGGAGTTGAGTTCGATTCCTTATGGATGAATATTTTGGCAATGATCACTGTTTGAGCTCACAAATGAGGAATAGGAACTTGGGCAAAGTAGCCAGATTTCATGAAGCATCACTTAAACATGAATCACTGCTTTTGACAGGGGTGTAGGATGGTGGTGGTGGGGGGGGTTACCTTTATACAATTTCTGACATCCTTATTTGATACTTCTCACATTGGGACCCTTTGAATTTGTTTCAAATCAGATATGATAATAAACATTCTGATCGTTCTTTCGCAGTAGAGAGAACACGCAGCACCGCAGAATAAAGCGGTGTAAACAAATATAAAACACAAGGTTGCTTGGTGAAAATGTTAAGATATATTAACTGAACAACCTGCTGTAAATTGCTGCCACATTGGTAAATTCAAACTATTTCAACCAAGTTTGCTTGGATTGTTTCACAATTGATTGCAGCTCCCATAACATGATGTATTACTGTTATGATGATGCATGGTGAGGTGATTGGGTTCAGACAATGGTGTCCACTTCTGTTCACTGTAATGCTGATTTTGCTTTTCAGCTGAGATATTTGCCCAGAACTTTTTGCCTTGCTGGCAAAGTGACGCGTCCTTTTTTGGCATGTTTTCCATTTTCTTTCCCTCTGCAACTGGCATCCTGGCAGGTGCAAACATCTCTGGCGACCTGAAGGTAATTCAAAATGTTATGAATCAAAGCATAAATTCCCAAGTTTTTGTCTAGTCCCTTATACATGCAAGTATAAAACAGGAAGTCCCTTCTTCACTTGCAGCAATGTCTTTACATATTTCAGGCTTTTACGGTTTAAAAGGAGCTGTAATAAATGATCACATGTTCCTTTGTATTATGAAAGAAGATAACTGCCTTTTAATGGTGTTTCTCCTTGTTATTGATTTTTTGCTTTCAATTTCTGGTTTCAAGCCAATTGTGGACCAGATATTTATGTGGTATCTTTCCCCCTCCTGATAATATGTCTGAGCTCTGTCATTATTGTGCAATTTCCTAATGTTACTGAGGACGAGAGTGTCTGGGAATTTTAGAAAGCTGTAGTCAAATTTACTTCCAAGTTCATTTCTTTCACTTGATCAGGTGATGAATGCTAACGTAGAACATGAAGCTGCTGTGCTACTCTGTGCAGGAATTAAAAATGTCATCAATCTGTTTTGAATTTTGGGTAATGTTAATAATTAGCAGGCTGTAGAATGGTCATTCACTAAAACTGATTAACATTGGGAATGTCAAATATGCTCTCATGGAATGAACAACATTTTATTGGGAGAGAATGGCACTTGGTTTGGAAAGTTAAAGTTGGGTCTGCCAAAAGAGATGAGGTTTATGGGAAGCAAGGGATAAACAATCTTTGATTGGATTTTCAGACCAATTAGACCTGGTCTGACCTGAGCTCCTCAGTCAAATCCAAACTCCTTTGTTTTTATTGAAGGGGAATTTCCCATGTGCCTTTGTTCTGAAATTTGACCTAGAATGAACTATTTCAATCTCAATGAAAATACTCCCTCCATTTTTAAAATATAAGGAATTGAAACAAACCTCATGAAGCCTGTTCTAACATGACTTGATAAGGCATTTGGAGTGGGTAAGGTTAACTCATGGAACATAAGACATGAGAAAAGTTTAAGAGTCGGTAGAACTGTTTTGGCCAAACTCAGGCTTCCTTTTATGTTCATATCAGCTTCTTCATCTCTGCTTTTTTTTTGGAGGATCCCTTGGTCTTTCTCCAGAAAACTATCCATTGCTTCTTCAGTTTGTCTTTGTCTTTTTCTGGGACGTCCACAATCCATTTTCAGCTTCATAACCTCAAGCAAACATTGAATACCCTCCATGCTACCATGGAAGGTTAACTCTGTGTTCTTAGTATTGCAGTCCGTGAGTGGTTCACCCCTCGAGTTGCACTGAGTTCGTGATCAAATTCACAAATTGATTACCAGCAGGTATATTCTGACCCACCCCCAGTGTATGTGAAAATTAATTGGTTAAAGTGCACAAATAACAGATTTATTCCTATAGTTGTACTGTCCCCATATACAAGATGTATTTCAGTAATGCTTTTTTTGATAGTAGTCCCCCACAAACCCCTGATCTCGACCAAGGGCGTAAGATGCAAAGGAGCATCACTTCAAGTTCCCCCTCCAAGTCTCACACAACCTGACTTGGAATATATCTGTTTTTTCACCATTGCTGGGATCAATTGTTCAACTTCCTACTCAATAGTACTGTGGGAGTGCCTTCACCACAGAGAATTCAGCAGTTCAAGAAGACTAAACATCAACTTTAGAAGGGCAATAAATGCTAGCCTTGCTCAATGATGTCCTCCCCTCATGATTGACTATTGAAAGATATAGGAAATAATATTGCCTTGTGTGTTAACACATTACCTTTATCTGCCATTACCTTAACAACCATCTTGTTAACTGCTTGCCCTCGTTTTCATTGTATTGCATTTGTAGGACCCTGCTGTAGCCATTCCAAAGGGAACCTTGTCGGCTATTTTTTGGACAGCTGTTTCCTACCTTGTAATTTCTGCTACCATTGGTAAGTTGTAAAGCAATTATTGTTTATGAATGTCATGTAGCTCTGAGATTTCTTCTTTACTTTTGAAAGTTTATCTAAGACTTCTGGATTCATAGCTTCTTTATTACAAATGATCAGATTCCAGTTTGGTGTATTGTTTACACTTTTTAATTCAAATTGTTCATCATTTATGCATAACATAAAAATTTTGAATTTTTGGTCATTGCCTTATCCAGAATCACAAGTCACTAATACAAAAACAAAGTTGTATTTATTTGGGTCTCTGGGAACTCTTTACTACAAATAGTTGAGAGGAGCTTTTATATCTGCATGAGTGTGCAGACAGGGCCTCTGTTTATCTTTTTATCCCAAAAGTTGTAATGATTCAGGTATATTGTATTATTGCACTGAAAACTCAACCTCAAGTCTGTGGAGTGAGGCTTGAAGCTATGACTTAAGTGGTAAAGGTGCTACCAACTAAACTTAGGTAGCACACATGTACAAATGATTGCCTGTTGTAAGTGTAGGAAAACTTAACACATTTATGTCATATTCCTTTATCTAAAGATTTGGCAGTTGTTAGTCTATTGAAATGAATGGGCTAACACATTGCTGAAAATAATGGGTAAAGAAATGTCTCACAAATGTATCCAGTGCCAATGTCTGAAGAAAACTGTCTCTAAAACATTCGTTCTAAGAATGAAATAGTCTTGGTCATATACCAAACTGTACTCGAGTGATAATATTTGTGCTTGTATTTTGCTGTGAGGCTTTTTAAATAGTTGGTTATGTCAATTTAAGCAGCATGAATGCATTACATACGAGCGGGGAAGTGTGCCATTTATCAACAGCAACAATGCAAAGATCTTCAACCAGTCACTTGTTTTGTATTCCACAAAATCCCATCATCTTTATTTAGTCATGGGACATGGCATTGCTGGCTAGATCAGCATTTATTGCCCATCCCTAATTGCCCCTGAGAAAATAGTGGAGAGCTGCTTTCTCAAAATGCTGCAGTTCCCTTGGTGTAGGTACATCAACACTGCAGTAGGGGAGGGAGTTGCAGGATTTTGACTTAACAGAAATGAAGAAATGCTGTAACTGGGGTATAAGACTGAATCATTAGTTGACCTTTCAAATCTTTGCACATCAGATCTGACATTTTCTGAGCCTGTGATACAATTTGGATTCTGTGTGAAAGGATCCTGGACACTCATACTGCCAGAGACATTAAAAATACTTTCTGGAGGAACATAGGAACAGGAGTAGGCTATTCAGCCCCTTGAGCCTGTTCTGCCATTCAATAAGATCACGGCTAATCTGTGGCCTAATTCCATATACCTACATTTGGCCCATATTCCTTAATAGCTTTATTTAACAAAATTTTATCCATTTAAAATTGGTAACTGATGCAGCATTCGCTGCTGTTTGCTGAAGACAGTTCTAAACATTTAGTACTCTTTGTATATCGAATTATTTTTTTTAATTCATTCATGTGATGAGGGTGTCACTGACTGACTAGGCCAACATTTATTGTTCATCTGTAATTACCCAGGGGGTAGCTAAAAGTCAAACACATTGCTGTGGGTCTGGAGTCAAATGTAGGCCAGACCAGGTAAGGATGGCAGTTTCCTTTCCTAAAGGACATTAGTGAACTAGGTGGGTTCTTCCAACAATCGACAATGGATTTATGGTCACAATTAGACTCTTAATTCCAGGTATTTTGTTGAACTTGAACCTGGGTCCTCAGGCCATTACCTAGATTTCTGGATTAGTAGTCCGGTAATAAATCCACTAAGCCATCGCTTCCCCATGAGAGCCAGTTGGTTTCCTAACATCGCTCCTGAAAGGTCTGGCCTTAATTCTCAATCTTAGCCCCTTAGTTCTAGAATCCCCAACCAGTGGAAATAATGTATCTACCTTGTATTTTCCTGAGGAACCCACTCTCCACTACCCCAAATGCGAAGGCAAACTCCTTATTGTACACTATTCTTAAAGCTGGAGGATATAAGAATACTTAAAAGTTTGGGAAACCTATCATTAACATAGTTTCTTCCACCTTCCATTTTAGGGTCTTGCGTGGTACGTGATGCCTCTGGTAGTCTGAATGACACCGTTCTTGTCGGGTCAACAGATTGTGAGGGCATTGCCTGTGGTTATGGCTGGAACTTCACTGAATGTGCTCAGGCTGGTACATGTACTTATGGACTCATTAATTACTACCAGGTAAAAACAATACAGCAACAATGGGATGTTCACACTTCAAGCCGCAAGATTTTTTTTTAATAACATGGTAGATTTTGATTAAAAAGCTGTAAAAAAAAAAAAAAAGTAGTGAGGAATAGAAAGGGGCAGTTGGTCAGTTCAAATTCTCCACGATAAGAATAATTGCAGGTTAGTGTGGTACGTTGGAACTGCACATGCCAGACTATTACCTTTGCATATTTGCAGAAATTAATTATCAGAGCATTGAAGGGGAATAGGAATTGATGCATTGGAACTTCAAAGTGTTAAATGGCACTGAATGGGAATTGTCACAGTGAAATCCTTTATTGAAAAGATAACCGGGTTTCCATCTCCAGAGTTGAGTCAATCAAAAAAATCACTATTGGATATAAAGAGGCTGTTCAGCCTGTCAAATCCATGCTTTTTGTCTGTAAAAACACTTGATTCAGTTCCATTCCCCTGCCCTTTCCCAATCGTCCTACATGGTTTTTCCTGTCAGGTGCTTACCCAGTTCACTTTTTGTAAGCCACAATAAAGTCTGCCTCCACCATCCCTGAGCTGGTGCATTCCCAATTGTGAGCACTGGAGAAGGATTTTCCTTGTGTCATCTTTGGTTCTTTTGTCAATCACTTTCAATCTGTTCCCTCAGATTTTTGACCCAATGGTAACAACATCCCTATGCCTACTCCCTCTAACTACCCTGTCCACATCCTTCATGGTTTAGAATACTTTGAGGGCGACACAGCGGCTTAGTGGTTAGCACTGCTGCCTCAGCACCAGGGACCCGGGTTCAGTTCTACCATCAGGTGACTGTATCGAGTTTGCACATTCTCCCCGTGCTCCGTTTCCTCCCGCAGTCCAAAAATGTGCAGGTTTGGTGGATTGGCCATGCTAAATTGTCCCTTAGTGCCCAGGGGCGTGCAGGCTAGGTGGATTAGCCATGGGAAATGTAGGGTTACAGGGTATGGTAGGGGGGTGGGTTTGGGTAGGATGCTCTTCAGAAGATCGGTGCAGACACAATGGGCCAAATGGCCTGCTTCCACACTGTAGGGATTCTATGATTATCTGAGTCGGAGTGCTGTGCTGATCAGCAGGTTCCTGATTTCATGGAGTCTAGGGTCTGGGCAGTACTGCCACCTCTGTGGCCGTTCGGTCGTGTCTTTCTCAGGTTTGGGAACAACATGATCAATGAGGAGCTGGAGCTGGCCTCTGGGGCACTGCCGCTGGAGTTCAGGTCAAGAGGAACTACGGGACCAGGCCTTGGGGGTTGCTGAGAGCCCTGTCCTAGGACCGCTGTCATTTGGACCCATTGGTTGCAGGTATGTGTGGGGGAGAAGGGGAAGGCTGGAAGCTGGAAAGGAAAAGGAGGCTGTAAGGAGTTGACCGGAGGCTGGAAGGGAAGGACAGCTAGGACAGAGACAGGAATATTGAGGCTGAAAGTGGAGGGTAGGAGCAAGGAAGCTGCACATGTGGAGCGGATATGTGGAGTCTGCTGGCAGGTAGAATGAGGATGATGGAACATGGTGGCAGGCAGCAACCAGCATTTCTCAGTAACTGTTACTGATATGGACGAGTGAAACAAATATAATAGCCCCAGCTTTGCAGCTGACACAAAGCTGGGTGGGAGGGTGAACTGTGAGAATACTGCAGAGATGCTTCAATGTGATTTGGACAAGTTGAGTGAGTGGACGCATGCATGACAGATGTAGATATATGGGAGATTATCCACTTTAGCAGCAGAAACAGCAAGGCAGATTGTTACCTGAACGGCAATGGATTGGGAAAGGGTGAAATGCTGAGAGACCTGGGTGTCCTTGTAGACCATTCACTGAAAGTAAAAACACAGCTGCAGCAGGTGGGGAAGAAGGCAAATGGTATGTTGGCCTTCATAGCGGGAGAATTCAAGTACAGGAGCGGGAGTGTTTTGCTGCAATTGTACAGGGCCTAAGTGAGACAACACTTGGATAAGATGGCCAAAACTGCACCAATACTCCGAGGAAGGATGTTCTAGCTGTGGAGGGAATGAAGGTTTATCAGACTGAATCCTGGGATGGCAACACTGACAAATGGAGAGACACTGGATCAGTTAGAATTATATTCACTGGAGTTTGGAAGAATGAAGGAGGATTTCTCTATAAAATTCTAATAGGACTATACAAGGTAATTGCAGGAAGGATGTTCCCAGTGACTGGGGAGAACAAGGGGTGGGGTTACAGACTAAGGATATGGGGTAGGTCGTTTAGGACTGGGTTGAGAATTTTCTTCAGCCAGAGAGTGGTGAAATTCTCTATGACAGATAACAGTTAAGGCCAAAATGTTTTCAAGGAGTTAGATATCGTCCTTAGGACTAAAGGGATCAAAAGGATAACGAGAGAAAGCAGGAACAGAGTACTGAGTTGGATGATCAGCCATGATCACACTGAATAGCAGAGTAGTCTCCAAGGGTCAAATGGCCTACTCCTGCTCCTGTTTTCTATATTTCTATGAAAAGGTGATCTCAAAAGAGAGAGAACAGTTTAAAGCTGTCAACAAAAGAATATTGTCTCACTGGAAGCTGAGCAAACTTGAAATCACTGAGATAATAAATTCCTTGTAAATGAATGTGGAATATCTCGCTTAATGTAGTGGATGCAGTCATAATGAAAATATGCCAATTGTTAAATATAAATCTGAAATTGAGATCTGAAATGTAGTAAAGAGGATAATTACAGTCTCATTAAAATGGTCCAGCTTTGTACGTACATGATGGAAATGCATTAGCTGTAACCTCACTAGTCTCTGTAAGATGTGTTTAGGCTAATGGCCTTTAATATAAAAGCTTCTGTAACTTATTGTGGAAAGAAAACGTTTGGTGATAACTTATGCCTATCATCTTGTGCCAATTTAAACTGTGGTTTTGAATTAATGGTTACCCTGTGGCTTTAAGTTCAATGGAGAGTTAATAATTGAGAAAATAGCTGATTTCTTTTAATTCTGCTTTTGCATATAGAAACGGAAAAGCAGAAGGTATTGCTACTACATGACTTCATCACCTAATTAATGAGTTAATGAGAATGAAAATGTACTCGCTGAAAATTGACAAGTAGCTCTCAAAGCCATCTGAAGAAGAGCCCTTGGGGAGGGGGAGAAAAAGATAGGGCCTGGTTCAAAAATGTGAAGCTGGTTACATAATATAAACAACCAGGTTGTGTGCAATTATCTGATGAAGTTCTGGCTGTAAAATGTAATATATTGGAACCTACACTTTTGATGGTCTCAATAAATAGAAACATAGAATGCAAAAGCAAAGTTTTTTTGCTGGAGTTATATAAAACAATTTGACATTATTGTTGCTACATGACTATTGTTGACAAATCTGGGTAGATTTTGTAAGGACAATTAAATGGGGAAAGATTGTAAAGAGTGGGGTGGATGGGAGGATTGACTGGACCTCTTGCTGAATAACCACCTCCTATGCTGCATTATTCTGTTCTATAGCACTGGAAAGGTGTGGAGGTGTTTGACAGGACCTGTGAAGGTTAAAAAGAGATGTGGGATGAGGAGTTTGGAAATAGGAGAACCTCCAGGGCTTATAACTTATCATCCTGGCCTTGCCTCTAGCAGATCTGTTCCCAATCTTCTCAAAGGGGACTAACCCCAGCTTCCCCAATCTGACCACAGACTGAAGTTCTTCAATCCTGGAGCCAATCTTTTTGTTTGCAATTTCTCTAAAACCTTCATATTCTTTCTAGCATGTGGTGCCCCATATTGAATTTGATAATCACTCAAGGTTGAACCTCTATTTTGGAAAGGTCCACCGTAACTTCTTTGCTTTTATACTGTCTGCTTCTATCTATAAAGCCTAGTTAGGATCCCTGTTTAATCACTTTGTTAACCTGCCTTGCTACTATCTAAGATTTGAACACGTGTACCCCCAGGTCTTGCTGTTGCCAAATCTCTTTTAGAGTTGTATTCTTTAGTTTATTGCCGCACCTCATTTTTTCCTACCTTTATTACTTGACATTCCACTGCATCAAATTTCATTAGCCATGAGATCCCACCTCCCCACCCCCACTCCATTTCTCCAGCCTGTTCATACTCTCTTGAAATATATCCCCATACTCCTTGTGGTTCACAACACTGCCACGTTTTTGTGTCATTTGCTCATTTTGAAGTTTTATCCTGTACACAACAAAGGTATTAATAAGTATCAAGGAAAGCAAGGATCCTTATTAGCATTGAGTTAGGATAGGGATTTTTTTAGTGCAACTTGACCACTTCAGTCCAGTTTCATTTTCTATTCACGGCAACGGTTTAACAACGTCATGGGAGCCACAAGAAGTGTCCAGGAATTTGCAGATGAAGCTGGATTTGCATCCAGTAGTATGGAAATGTCCTGCCATGTCTCTTTCTTTTTAATTGAACACAAACTAAACTTATCAAATTAAAATTTAAAATGAGCATTATATTCAAGACTAAAAATCTCTCACTTCATCTCAACATTGTTTGTTTGTTTTATCTATTTACCTTGGATCCTTTCCTCAATATTTACTGGCTGCCTTGATCGGAGTTTCCTCCGGTTCTGCAGCTTCTTTCTTCTCTCTCTGGCTCTGACTCGATTCCTTCAACTTCAGTCTGCAGTGAGGTGCTCCCCTCCCTGCTCATCCTGGTCTGGGGCCTGATATTCTGTTGTATCTTTTTATTCCACTCTTTCAGTTTTTTTTTCCCAAAACCAAATTCATATATTAGAACATTAGCATATTGCACAATAATGGACATCAAATATGAAAATTTTGTTTTAATCCAAATGCAAGAGGTTTGTTCTGACCTTTGCTGATGGTTGCCTGTACTTCTCAGCTGAGACACTAGCAAGCATTCGTGCTATCATCAAATTTGGAGGATATCTGCTGGTTCACATCTGCAGTGAGCATTGTGCTGTGGTCAGTTTCTGGCAGATCTGTATCACATCTGCAGTTCTACACTGCCCACAAATGATGTGCTGTGATTATTTTCCTTCATTCTTAGAATTAAGACAACTTGTTTGAGAGTGATAAAATGCCAGTATTTGATGAAGTAACAAACCATTTTTTCCACTTTTTTTTTTGGAAGACTATGAGTCTAGTGTCTGGATTTGCCCCTTTGATTACAGCCGGAATCTTTGGAGCTACCCTTTCCTCTGCACTTGCCTGCCTTGTGTCTGCACCCAAAGTCTTCCAGGTATTGCATGTTTCTTTAGCTACACAACTACTGTAATTAACTGTACTGTAATACATCCCAGTATTGTTGTTCACTTCGAATTGTGGAATTGCTGAAAGTTAGTCCTGTAAGATTAAGCATTTTTCTCTAAACAGATGTCCCTCTCCAAATATTAACTGGTAAAGTTAATGCAACCCAATCTCTCTATTTAATTTGCACACTTAATCAATCAGTCTCCGTTTTCTGTAATTGAGTGGGAAGTATGTAAGAGAAGTTAATCTAGTTTGGCTTCAATAGTTGAGCTATTATTTGGTCTGTACTCTGTTAGCCCACCTAAAATTAACAGTGCATTGTGTACAGAAACCTGGAAATTCGTACATTATATCAATGTCCCGACCAGCTGAGACATTGTTAGTCTATTATAAACACATTAAGGTGTTTGTTACAGCAATGATATAAATGCAAGTTGCTATTGTTATAATATGTATGGTAACACTATCTAGTTACAACAAACTGAATTGTTAAAAAAGAAGTCTACTGACCCACTGATTGTTGTACATCCATGAAACCAATAAAATTCAGAATAACGGAACACTGGGGCTGGATCTCTTCTTGGCCAAGAGCATGAAACAGATGACTGTGATTTAGCTGTTTCTCATACACACCTCTTGATTTTCCTTCCCATTTAGAAAATGAGATTGGGCAGAATGTAAAATAGGCTGCCAGTTCACTAATGTCCATTCCACAGTATGGTCCAAAACCAAATTCATCCCCATTGTTTTGTGCACCCTTTCCCATGTTCCACGTTCTTAATTCTGTTTCTTTCAGAACATCGTAAACATCCATTTTACTTGCTTTGACTGAAGTCAAACACGTACAACCTCTGACTTGTTGGTGCAAAATCATTGTTTCAGTTATTCTACAATCAATGCTGTATTAGTTTCTGATAGACAACGGAATTGACCATCCTTCAATAAATGACGTTGTGCAGTTCTTCAATATGAAGCTCTAGAACTTTTTGTACAAAGGCACTGAGCTTAAAATCAAGTTCTATCTACTTTAAGTATTTCACACCGTGCTGCGAGTTCAGACTCCAAACCATGATATTTATAGCAATTTGTTTTTGCTTTTACTTCATTCTGTGAGATGTTAAGCTTGAAATTCATTTAGTTCTATATGTAGTGAATTAGTGAATGTCGTGGGGTGAAGTACAGTATTTATCATTTAGTATCAATGTTCTAAGCTATTTATTGCCTAAAAGTAGGTGGTTCAATTGAACGAATATTTTTTTCACCTTTCTCAATAGTGTCTGTGCCAGGACAATCTTTATCCTGGTATTGGTTTCTTTGGGAAGGGTTATGGGAAGAACAATGAGCCCATTTACAGTTATCTCCTCACTTACGCCATTGCTATTGGTTTCATTCTCATAGGTAAGTAACTCAACATGTCTTCCTTATCTTTCGATTGGTGAGGCCAAAAACTGTCAGCATGAAGTTATACCTACAATGGCAAGATGTTTTCAGTTCAAATATTAGAAATGAATACGGAATCCCAAATTATTTAACTTTGAAGAAAAATATCTAATAGCATGCAGTACTTTACAAAAAGTTGAATGCTTTTCTTTAATTTACTGATAAGTATAAAATACTTTTTGTAGTGTATGCAATTAAGCTGTTATCTTTATAAAGTGTGTAAAGCATTCTAGAAGAACAATCGCAGTGTATAAAAGCTAGAAGTTGCATGTCAGTGTCATCTTTTCAAGCTATTATTTGTTGGATCGGTCTTCAAATCCATAAAAGTTCCACAAGAGAGACTATTAAAGTAGAAATGTTTAAAATAGTGTTGTCCAACAGGCAGCCCATGGGCCACAGTGTGACCTGCTGAGGGATCCTATTAAACTGCTGTTCACAATACAGGTATGGGTAACTGGAGGACATTGCATGGAGCTGCCCCTTTGATCAGGGGCCATCTCTATTCTGCATTTGTGCAGTACGTAGTGAATGTGGAAGAGGAATAGACTATGATTGGTGGAGAAACAAAACATGAGTGATTTGGTGACTCTGTGGGATGGGGAACTGGGAGCGTTTCAGGGAGACCCTGGCTTGTGAAGGAGGGGAATGAGAGGCAGGTTGCCTGGATGAGACAAGGAAGCAAGGGAGAGCAGTGGTTGCTGCAGCAGCTCAGGGAGATTGGTGTGTTGGACTGGGAGGGAGGAACTGTGTGTTGCCACATTTGTAGCTGCTCCTGTGTGATATTAACCCCAAACCTCCCAGACCTGAGCTGGAGGTGGTGTCTCTGTGTGTATGCGTGGAGGTGGTGAGATTGAGCTGGACATAGACCCACCCTTCTTCAAAGCATCTATCCACAGACCAAGCTGGAAGATGGGGAAAACCCAGGCTTAAAAGGAATCCACCCCCACACTCCACTTGTGAATTCTACCAAAGCCACCTCGCAGGCAAATACCAGGTTAGTTACTCCTTAGCATGGCCCTGGACCCCCCACCATTATCTGGAGCTTTGGTATTTTTATTACTGTCTACTTTTTAACTCAATTGACAGCAAAAAAAATTTTTTTTTTAGTTAGCTCTGCTGCTTGACCCTTTTTTAATGGTTATTGTTATTAATTATTTGGCAAAATGATCGATTTTTGATTCAAGTTCACTGGTGTAGCAAACCATCCCTTTCCGAAATTTTCTCACTGGCCCTTCAAGTGAGAGAAAAATTGAAATGTGGCCCTTCAATATGAAAAAAGTTGGACAACCCTGTTTTAACAAAGCAATATTTTGGAGAGAGAAATCCCCAGAAGAGAAATACCATAGCTGCCATCAAAGTCTTCAGTTGCATCAGTTCAACTGTGTTTGAAGGACATTATACAATGCCCTTACATATTACACAATGGTCGACAATGAAATGTAAGACCACCTGTAACCTGTGTGGTTCTATTCTCTTACAGCGGAACTGAATATGATTGCTCCAATGATCTCCAACTTCTTCTTGTGCTCCTATGCACTCATCAATTTTAGCTGCTTCCATGCTTCAGTTACCAATTCTCCAGGCAAGTTTTCACTTTTGATTTCTCTAGAGGTTTCCATGTGGGTTTCGTCTTTATTTCTGATATCAAATAAAAATAGGTAGCAGGCCAAAAATCTGCTGAACACCAGAGGTAGGCAGTGTGCAATTCTATGCTCCTTATTGTCCTTCACCAGACTGTGCTTTCTTAAATACCATTCTGGTTGTCATGAAATTTGAGCATCACAAGCCTGCAGTTCCTTGATGTGACTGTGTCGTCGAGCCCAAGTGTTGGTGGTTCAAAAGCGCTAATTCTTTTTGGGAGCCAAGGGAAAATACAGCTTTTTAGTCTACATTAAAATAAACTAAATATTTGAAGGAAGCTTGTATTTATTGAGAACATTTCACAAAACAGCAGTTAAAATAGGGAGTGAGAGCTCCAGAAGCACAGTATTCTGACAATGATGTGACTCTTTCATCAATGGATTATAATAGTTCCTATAGGTGAGCTTTGTCCTCTATGAATTGCAAGTCATAATGTTACCAGGCAGTTTCTTTTTAAATGTAATCTATGCACATTCCCAGTAATGTGTATTTGATTGTACTGTGTAGGTATTGTTGAAGGTGAATGCAACCTTTCATACCGTTCATAATCTTGTCCCCGTTAATACAAGAGGCGACCTGATAGAGGTCTACAAAATTATAAGAGGTGTAGATAGGGTGGATAATCAGATGCTTTTTCCAAGGATGGAAATGTTAACTACAAGAGGACACAGGTTCAAGCTGAGAGGGGGAAAGTTCAGGGGAGAAGTGCAGGGAAAATTTTTCAGAGGGTGGTAGGTACCTGCCAGTGGAGGTGTTGGAAGCAAGCGTGTTAGCAACGTTTAAGGTGAATCTTGATAGACACAGGAACAGGAGGCAAACAGTGGGTTAGAAACCACACGTGGGCAATAAGTAGTGGGTTCAAATAAGGACTAGGAATCATCGCAGGCGTCGTAGGCCAAAGGGCCTGATCCTGTGCTGCATTGTATTGTACAATATAAATCTGTTGTATATTGGGAATGTCCCTGCAGGCTTCAATTAGAGCTGCAGCGACGCAATAGAGATCTCGGTTCTGATGTAACGTGATAGCTCCATGCTCGTGCAATCTCAAGTTATAAGAAAATAGCACAATAGCCGTGCCATTTAAACTAATGGGGCTGGAATCGCATTATAGCCAATACAGGTAAGGAAAGTTTACGTTCTACAAATAGCGGCCTAAATTCTTCAGTTGCATTAAAGCTGATTCATGTTGAAGAAACACGTGTAATATCAGAACCAACCGTATGCTCACTAAAAGTCTGGTCCTAAAGCTTAGCCGTGCTGACGACATCCATCGAGTGCCATAGAATGGATGTCACTCATATCACTTTTAAATGATTGATTTTGCTTTATATTTTAAAAAGGTTGGAGACCTTCATTCAGATATTACAACAAGTGGGCCTCCCTGTTCTGTGCAGTAGTTTCCGTGGTTATCATGTTTTTACTAACGTGGTGGGCGGCCCTCATTGCTATTGGCATTGTTGCTGTCCTCCTGGCATATGCATTGTACAAAAAGCCTGGTAAGTGACGAGGAGAGTTGCCACTGTAACTGTTATGAGTCCGTTCTGTTTTTCACCGAAGGTTAAAGCACTGAAATATTAATGATATGTTCACTTGTTTGACTATGCTCTGAAGTCTGACACAACTTGTTGATTGTGGTTACGGTTAATCTTCTTTGTGTTTGGGTTTAAATGAAGTCACACTGTGGCTTTTTAATGAAGGTTTTGACATGTTTTGAATTGTAGATCCACAGTCACCATTTGTCCCTGTTATTCCATCTAAATGGTCACTCTTATAGTATGAATCTAGGCTGCAGGGGTCAGCAAGTTAATCAATGACAGGTATCAAAGTTGAATGTAATTGGTTTATTGCCCAACATGTATGTGTATCGGCAAATGTCACACCTGCATTTAGGAGCAGGAACCATCACCTCTCCTTGCCTCGGGAATACCAAGGTCTCTCATAGCCAACAGTGTTGTTGCCATGCTTGTGCCAGTCTATATGGCTTGAAGTTCAAAGTGATTGCTGCAGCTTGCCTGCTTTTAAAGGCCATTGTCTGAGGCCTTTCAACCTTACTTTACAAAAGGCCTGGTAACTCTCAGACCCTACACTTGTCACTGAATGCTTTTTGTAAATGTTACTGGATTGAACCGCTTAATAGCGCAATGTGCTCAATGAAGAAAGGTTATATTTTCACTACGTTTTCTATAAAGTCCATTGTTTTCGAATGTGATTTGAAATATTTTATGAATAAAGTATATTTTTGCAAGAAAGAAAACAGTTCACTTCAGAACCCTGTATGTCAGGCATTTTGAGAATTGGTTTGAGATATCCAATGAACTGCAAGGATAATAAATGCAAATCTTTTTCTTATCATCTGAATGATGCACTTATCATACTTTCTGAGCCAGTGGTGAATTCTGTTCAAGTATTTGTGTGTGGATGATTTTACATGCAATAGCTCCAAATGATTAACCGTATTTTTCTACTTAAAAACAAAGATTTCAAACCCTAATGTGATGCAGAAATAGTCAAATAAATAATGCACGTGTTTTCTGAATTTCAATGTTTTCCCCTTTTAGCTGTAAATTGGGGGTCATCAGTTCAAGCTGGTTCCTATAAAATGGCATTGGCCTATTCAATGGGACTTAATGAAGTGGAAGATCACATTAAAAATTACAGGTAATTATGGGTAACCAAGCAATTTATAACAAGTGGCCACAATGCTCAACCTTCTTTTTTCATTCAAGAACCATCAGTTCTTTACAAATTATTTCATAACAGGCAGATGAGTGATTCTGTTTTTTCTTTTGAAAAAAGAGTAACCATTTTGATTTTATATGACAAAATTAAATTGTTGAAAGCATAGAGGATTCTGCCTTTTTTCAGTTTGCCTGCTGTCCCATCTTAAAGTTCAGTTATGCAGAAACTGGTACCAAACCAGTGCTGTCTTGGCTTCAAACCCTAGTCCCTTTTCCTGTCAATCAGGTGAGTTATATATTCATTTCTGTTATTTTACCAACTGATAAATTAGTTCACATAAGTCATTGCTGGCAGTCATGAGTAGATGGGTTACCAGAAGTATCTGCGGTAACAACAAATTAAAGATTAATCTCCCAGATACTGCTATAAGCAACTGTGAAGAACAATCATAGGGACAGTTAAAAAAAATTATCTTTATCATTTGATGATTAGTTTTGAAAATATTGTAGTCGGGGGAAGGGTATAATGACCATTTGACATTCTAGAATTCAAGTAAAATGTTTGCTTGACATCTAATCATAAGCTATTAGCCCAATTGGTTTAATGCTGTTGAATTTGTCATAATCCTATTCTACATCTCTGTCTTTTGTTGAGAATAAATTTGTTGTGAATCCATCAACAAGTATTAGTTCATGTCTATTTATTTTAGGCCGTTCGCTCATAACTGGACAAATACACCATGTGGAGCTGGAGGAACACAGCAGGTCAGGCAGCATCAGAGGAGGAAAGCTGACGTTTTGGGTCAGGACCCTTCGTCAGCACATTTCTGAAGAAGGGTCCCAACCTCAAACGTCAGCTTTCCTCTGATGCTTCCTGACCTGTGTTCCTCCAGCTCCACACTGTGTTATCTCTGACTCCAGCATCGGCAGTTCTTACTGTCTCTAAATACCTCATGTGTTGTGTTCTCACCCCCTCAATTTTGATATTGTCACAATTAAACAATGCTGTTTCTCTTAACTCAAAATTTAACTAACTTTTTTTTTCCTCTCCTCCAGGCCTCAGTGCTTGGTTCTTACTGGTCCTCCTAACTTTCGTCCAGCACTGGTAGATATTGTGGGGGCGTTCACCAAAAACCACAGTCTGATGGTGTGCGGGAATGTGCTAATCGTGAGTGTGATTGAAACTTTGGAGTTTGAAGTTTGTTTTCCAGAAATATATGCAGCAGTGACCTTGCTTTCTAAAAACAAAATTTTGGACGTTTTATCATAGTATATGCACTTTCGTTGCACACGTTCTTTTATCATTTATTCCTTTTAAAAAATTTTCTGTAATATGGCAGAAACAGTGGCGCTCCTTCAGTAGAGCGTTAGGTTTCTGAATGGACATGCACAGAGCTTTCCGGCTGCACGGTGGCTCAGTGGTTAGCACTGTTGCCTCACAGCGCCAGGGACCCGGGTTCAATTCCACCCTCGGGTGACTGTCTGTGTGGAGTTTGCACGTTCTCCCCGTGTCTGCGTGGATTTCCTCCGGTTTCCTCCCACAGTCCAAAGGTGTGCAGGGTAGGTGGATTGGCCATGCTAAATTGCCCGTAGTGCTCAGGGGTGTGTAGCTTAGGTGGGTTATAGGGGAATGGGTCTGGGTGGGATGCGGCAAGGGTCAGTGTGGACTTGTTGGGCCGAAGGGTCTGTTTCCACGCTGTAGGGATTCTATGATTCTATGTGTATGTACAGAATTTGAAAAGAATAGTTGATCTTAAATTGTATTATCTTCCAACAACCATGTAACTGTCTGTACTGACAGATTTTTCAGCTCACTTTGCCCTGTATAGCTTCCACGCAAGGAATTATGGACTGCCCAAACTTGGAGATTGTTAACCAGAATTTAAAACCCAAAAACAACACTAGTTTACAGATTGCTGTCAGTGAATGTGGAATGGACTTGCCAGGAAAGGAGAGGTCATGAAAGGATATGGTTGGGTTAGGGTGTGTGGCATTTCTGTGAGATCCGGGCTGATAGCAAATTAGGGAATTTCTACTTGATATTAGGCTGTCACACTCTCTCTCTCTTGCTCCCTCCCTCTGGAATTGATAAAGCTTACTATGTAGGTCTCCAGAAAAAGAGCCCAGACTGGCTGGTTTTCTGAGCTGTTTCAAATAGCCTAGCTAGCTCAGTTGGTAAATAATGGGACTCATACTCCTAGGACTGTGGTTTCAAGCCACACATCGAATGACTGTTTTTGTGGAGGCTGAGCTGTAGTGGTAAGATTACTGGCTTCGCGGTCCAGAATGCCAGGCCGTTGTTCTAGGGCACATGGCTTTGAATCCTACCATAGGGTCATAGCATTTTACATCACTGAAGGAGAAACATCAGCCCATCATGTTTGTGCCCTTTATCGAGCACCTATCCACCCTAAACCATTTTCCAGCACTTGGCTCACAGCCTATGGCACTTTTGTGTTCAGCTAAATACTTCTGAAATATTCTGAGGTTTCCTGTCTCTATCCCTCTTTCTGGTAGCAAGTTCCAGATCCTCCCCACCCCCTCCACACCTCTGGTGAATATTTTTTCCTCAAATCCCTTCCTGTTCCTTACCTAAATCTATAGCCCTGGTTATCAATCCACTCTATACCCCTCAACATTTTGTACACACTAATCAGATCCCATCCATGCCTTCCATGCTCCATGTAAAACAATCTCAACTTCATTTGTCCTCCTTCCTAGCTGGAATATTCCAGCCTAGGCAACATCCTGGTGAATCTCCTTTGATCCCCCTCTAATGCTTGTAATTCCTTGAAGGTGGAAGCTAGAACTGCACGTGGCACAGCAGTTGTGGCCTAACTAATGTTTTATGCAGCTCCATCGTAACTTGCCTGCTCTTATGTCCAATGCCTCAACTAATAAAGGCAAATATCCCATTAATCTTCTTTGTTACCATCTCTACTTGTCCTGCTGCCTTCAAGGATCAATAGACATGCACCCCAAGATCCCTTTGGTCCTCTGAACTTTTCCCTTGCCTTGTTAGCCCTCCCAAAATGCATCACCTCACATTTTTCAGGGTCAGAAACTACTAACCAGGGAGTCTGCATCGTCCTACAGTCTTTTCTCCGTGCTGTTTACCACACCAACAATTTTTATGTCATCTGCAAATTTACCAACCAAACCTCCTTTAATTCATATCAAGGCAGGTGCTAAAATGTGGGGCTCTTGTATTAATAGTGTCTCTACTTCTGGACCAGAAGGTCAGGGTTCAAGACTCGTCTGTCATGGAGGTGTGTCACAAACCTGTCTGAACAGGTTCTTTTTAAAAATAGAATATTTAAAATGAAGCTACACTGAGATCCCTAAAAGCGTGAAACTATTCTGAGCTGTTTCAATATGTTTGCGTAACCTGGGAGCCTGCACCTCAGTTATGAGCCTTGCTGAATTTAATCTGCTGAATCATTGGAACTGCACAGGATTAATACACCTGAGGAGCAACAAGTTTCATACCTAACCGTGGTGTCCTGTGTTGAACTGAAGGGTCCTCATAAGGAAAAGGTGCCTGGGGTAACCTCAAATGGACACACCAAGTGGCTGACAAAGAGGAAGATCAAATCTTTTTATGCAGGTGTGGCTGCAGATGATTTACGAAGTGGAACGCAAATGCTAATGCAGGTAAATGTGAGAGGTGAACCCTTGAATGGTGCAGAGCATAGACCATGTGGGCATGGGATAAAGATCAAAATGATTCCTTTCAAAAGCAACTCTAAACAAAAGGCCAGAATGCCTGGGGCATTGGCATTTAATGAGCGTATAGTGAATGGGAAAGAGACTCCAGTTAAGAAAGAAAGGGGCACAATTTCCCATAAAATTCTGACCTTGCCTTGATTTTACGGTTGATCCACATGCGCCTGTTCCTGTGGAACCTGTTATTTAGCCAAATGGGGACCACGTGCAGCCCACTTGCTGCCCAGCTACAGTTTTCAGGCTGGCAGCAGAGCTCAGGGACAGAAGCTGCCTTGTATGTTCGCCTGCTCTGGTCTCGAGCCACAAAGAGCGGGTCACCTTCCTCACAGTTCCCCTTTGTCAGTCATGGGTGCCCCAATATATGCCCAGGAAAACCAATAAACTCCAAGGTTGGGGTAGTACCAGCAGCATCCCCACTCCCCTCAAAAGAAACCTAGGTCTGTCTTCCATCTGGATGGTAGAACCTGGTCCCTGGCTCCACCAGGAGCTCAATACTTGTTTTCCATCCAGACCCTGTCTCCTCTTCGCTGGCACTGATTGTAGTCCCAGCAGTGACCACCAGGCTCTTGAAGTGGGGACAGGAGTCCCACATCCAGCTGATGAATACCTCAGCCATCAAACATGGGAGTGTATTCCTGCCCACTTTCTCAGGAAATCTTAACAATGCGAAGAATCCTGCCCTAGAAAATAAAATAAATAAGTAATAATACATACAGTAAACAATAAAATGTTTTTAATTTTTATTATTAATTTATAAAATGGGTAAAACACTCAAATTAGATATTCCACATGCTGCATGATGATTCCCCCACCTTAACACATTGCTAAATCCCAAGCCAGTTATGCAGGGCTCTTGGTGGAGGTCTAAAACCTTTTTTGTATGGCAAATGGCAGAAGGTGAACAAAGACTGAGGAAAAAGGAAGAAAAGAATGTTATCCTACACTCTGTGCATGCCTGTTCATTGCAAAGTTCAGAATGATGCAGCTATTTAACTGTATAAACCTCCTTTCTTATTTCCATTTGCTGCCAATTTAAAGTCATGGATTTTTTTTACAACATTCCCATGTGAGCTGTGCTACATTAGGATGAGAAAACTAGTATTTCTTCAACTGCAGCATTAATAATTTATGATCTTATGGCACCCACTAAGGGGATTTTGTCATGTCTGGGAACAGGGAAGACTAGGGTCAGGTAATCACTTTGAAGAATTCTCATAGTGGGCAATGTTGGAAGTAGAAACCCAGAATATAAAACACATTTATGTACTTTTATTGAAAGCAAAATAAAGACTGGAGCACGAGCAAGGGAGTAGAAGTGAAACTTAAATATGAGAATTTAAACTTTAAGCCAAAAAAACACACTTTTTAGATCTGCAGTCTTTACATGTAAAGCTTCATCCATTCAGAAGAACATTTATAAAGTTTATTTCTCAGGGCTGAAGAGGTTGTTCATTCGTAATTATGACCAGTATTTTGTTGAAAACTCAGTTACATCTGATGTGTAAGACTTAACATTTTTGTTGATCCTTATTGCAGCAACAGTGGCTAAATAGTTTGTATTTTGTTTATTATGTGAATGTTACTATTGTGCCCTCTGGAAAAAGTAGAGTATCTCTGACAGCAGCAATTTTATTTCTTCGTGGGATTTGAGCATCGCTAGTAAGCCTAGCATTTGGACAGTGATGCTGTGGTGATGTTTCTGGATGAGTAGACCAGAGGCTAATGCCTTGGCAATAAGAGTTCAAATCATGCCATGGCATCTGGTGAAATTTAAATTCAATTAATTAATAAATCTGGAATTACAAGCTAGTCTCAGTAATGAGCAGTGTGAAACTATCAGATTGTCATAAAAACCCATCTGGTTCAGTCATGTCCTTTTGAGAAGAAAATCTGCCATCCTTGCCCAGTCTGGTCTACGTGTGACTCTCGACCTACAACAGTATGATTGACTTGTGCAATGGCCTAGCAAGTCAACGCAAGTTGTATTAAATTGCTAGTGAAAAGTCAAGCTTCCATATTTCTGCGTTTTTGTGCACATGTGCAGATGTTAGAATTTGCTGTCAGTTTTGCCCATTACTTCCCAAGAGTGTTGAGAGTGTCATTATTATTGCCACAGGACATTGTATTATCTTTGTTTAAATTAACTCCTGATTCCCCTCCCCTCTCCCCACCATTGTGTAAAAATGTTCACACATGTTGAAAGGAATCTTATTACATGTTTAATAGGCTGTAGGTCTTGGGAGGATGAAGCCTAACGTGCTGGTGATGGGATTTAAAAGGAATTGGCAATCTGATCACCCCCAGAATGTGGATAATTACATTGGCATTATCTAGTGAGTATCCAATTACTATATCAATTAGTGTGCAAAAAGCAAATCATTTTAGAAAGGAGAGATAATGTGAGATTTTAAGTACTATGGATGATGAGAATTTATTTCAAGATGTATTCTAGATGCAGTAGTTTTTTTTGCACATTTCATCAAATCCAGATATGTAGGATGTTGTGTTTTAGGTTTTTCCCAGTGTTACAATCTGTAACCTAGCATTGGAATCATGAACTGAAAATTAGATTTTTGCTAGCTACTTATTACAGGAGGGTGTCAGTCTAACATCTAATGCTGATTGCTGGAGAGTATATGAAATGCACATCACTGTTTCCTGTCACTAAACATGACTGTCAGCAGGATAAAACTATCATTCACCATTTTTAAGACAATATCTGCTGACACCTGCCGATGCTTATGTAAGTAGGAGGTGGAGAGAAGTGGGGACCCTGGAGCTCTCCACCCTCCAGGGTCTCGTCATTTCCCCCTTTCCTCCCATCTCCCACCTCTTAGTGGCCCCCACTATAGTTGTTGTGTCTGTAACTCAGGGCTAGGAGGCCTGGGTTCAAGTCTCATCTGTTCCAAATGAGTGTCATAACATCTCTGAAGGGTTGATTTTAAAAAAAAAAAAAAAAAAAAAGCTGGATACTCGTTCAGTGGCTTCTGGACGAGGAAAAGTGGAAATTCCTGTTCATGGTAAACTATAGATTTTCAATAAAATCCTTGTAACTCTCTAAAAGTCTTTTGCTGCCTAATTCAACATGTGAAAGTCAGTCTGTTTAACAACAGACACAATCAAGTGACCCTGCTTAAAGGCTCTGCACTGTTAATAGTTAACAATGTGATAGGATTTTATAATGCACTTGGTAATTGGAATTAATGCCTGCTGCAATAGTTAACCTCTGCATTTGAATTATAGTGACTCTTTTGACTTGAATTATGGTGTATGTATGATGAGAATGAAGCAGGGCTTCAATATTTCAAGAATGATGCAAGCACATGGTGAGTATGTGACAGCTACTTTAGAAAATGTGTACTCAGGGCCCAGAGGCTAGGACCTGTGGGTTCCACCACAGTCAATTTCATTAATTCCTCATCAATAGATGTAGTATGACCATTGTGAGATGAAGCACAAGAAATAGGATCAGGAGTAAATCGTATGGCCCTGGGCTTGCTTCACCATTCAATAAGATAGTGGTTAAACATTGGACTCCGCTCCACTTTCCCATCTGATCCACGAATCCCACAGCTATTTTAGGGCCCAAAATAATAATCTCAGTCTTAACTGTACTCTGTGATTGAGGATCCACAGCTTAATGGGAGAGAGAATTCCAAGTATTCACAACTTCTTGCGAGCAGAAATATCTCCTCATCTCAGTCCTAAATAATTGATTGCTTAACGTGATATCAAGCTGCTAGGAGAAGTAGCCTCTTACCATCTAAGCTCTATTTCTGAATAAAGACACTTGGCTGCTGTGGTGATGGTGAGAAAGGAACATAATTGGCCCTGGAGACCGGGGCTTGGGACATTGGGCTAGATCGAAGCCCAATAACGGAACTCTCGGAGTTTGGGGCTCCATTGCACTCGGATCAGGAGCTAGGATTCTGTCCCTGTCCCTGCTGGAGGGATACTGACCCCCTTCTGGGTGAGAAAGGCCACAGACTAGATTGGTGAATTAGTAGCCAATGAAGAGCCCCAACTTACCAGTGGGTGCAAGCACTTGTCTCCCCATGTGACAAAAGGGAGGGATGTCCAACTGGGAAACCAGCCCAACTTGCCTGCTGTTGTGGGGTTGAGGTGCCTCTGTTTGCCACATGATCACCATGACATTGCATCTGATCCTCTGACCTCCCTCTGCCCATGACCTCTACCCCACAAGACCAGAAAGTAAAGGATTTACCTTCTTGCATTGAAGCCTTGGCTTCAACCTCTAGGGCCTAGAGGCTGCTGGCCTCTGATTAGCCAGCAGCTTGTGAGGGTGGAGTTTCCATCCTACCTGGGGCTAGATTGGAGTCAAGACTGCTCAGGCAAGTGCCTAGTCAGCCTGAAGCAAAGCAACTCTCATCAGCTTCCCACTCATTACATTTCATCCATTAGGTCTGTGATCTTATATTTCCGCCCCCCCCACCCCCAGTGCTCGCATGAACTAGATGAAGATCTCTGGTCTTCTCAGAGCTATTTCCACCCCATAAAATCAGCCTTTTAAGTGAGGAATGGAGAAAGGTGAAATGAAGTGATATTATTGAAGCCATCTACAATGGGAAGTTATGACCATTGTAGTAGCAATTCACTGGGGATTATTTAAAGTTGAACTGAATGCTGGTTCTGCTACTTGCCCATGCTGATCAGTAAAAAGCCGTCACTATTTTTGCTTTAGTGGACTCCAGTACTGTCGTCGCTCAACAGGCTAGTACCATTTTCCAATCGGAGCAAGGCAAAAAGACCATTGACATCTACTGGCTCTTTGATGACGGAGGTAACAATCCGAATTGTTCATAAGTAACAGCTAGAAGGAGGAGCTGCAAACTTTCCTTTTGCAATTACACGAGTTAAAACGTAATGAGATAAATTGTTTATTCTAGTTGGAGAAGTCATAAACTACAATATATTAAAATTAATGCATGAGCCTCCTACTCTATCATTGGCATAAGTGAACGTCCACACTGGGAGTACTTTTCATTTATTCATGAGAAGTAGATGTTGCTGGCTTGGCCTGCATTTATTGCCCACTCTTGATTGCCCTTGAGAATGTAATGGTGAGCTACCGCCTCAAACTGCTGCGGTCCCTGAGGACAAGTACACCCACGGTTCTGTTAGCGAGTTCCAGAATTGTTTCCCACCTACAAAGGAACAGCAACATTCTTATAAATCAGGACGGAGGGCAACTTGCTGCTGGTGGTGTTGACTTGCATGAGGTAGTAGAGCTCAGGGAGTTTGGAAGATGCAGTGAAGTTTGTGGGTTGCTGCAGTGCGTCACGTAGATGGTACACACTGCTGTTACTGTGTGGTGGTGGTGAAGGGAAAGAATATTCAAGGTGCTGGTTAGGTGCCAATCAAGTGGGCTGCTTTGTCCTGGATGGTGTCAAACTTCTTGAGTGTTGCTATAACTGCATTCATCTTATGAATTAGGGAGTATTCCATCACACTCCTGACTTATGCCTTGTGGTGGACAGGCTTTGAGGAATTGGGATGTGAGCTACATGCTGCAGAATTCCCAGCCTCCAGACTGTTGTTGAATCCACTGCATTTATTTGACTAGTCCTGTTCAGATTCTGATCAATGGTCACCTGCAGGATGCTGATAATGAGGGATTCACTGATTAGTAATGCATTTGAATATTTGAATATCAAGGAGTGATGGTTAGATTGTCTTGTTGGAGTTGGTCATTACCTGGCATTTGTGTGGTGCCTATGTTACTTGCTCAGGTCTTGCTGCATATAGACACAGATTGCTTCAGTATCTGAGTAGTGGCAAATGGTGCTAAACATTGTGCCATCATCAGTGAACATCCCCACTTCTGACATTATGATGGAGGGAAGGTCATTGATGAAACAGCTGAAGGTGGTTGGGCCTAGGACACTACCCTGAGAAATTCCTGCAGAGATGTCCTGGGGCTGAGATGACTGACCTCCAACAGCCACAACCATTTTTTTATGCTAGATATAACTCCAGTCATTGGAGTATTGTCCCTGATTCCCATTTGCTCCAGTTTTGCTAGGTCTCCTTGACGCCACACTTGGTCGAATGCAGCCTTGATGTCAAGGGCAGTCACTGTCACCTCACGTTTGGAATTCATCTCCTTTCTCCACGTTTGAACCAAGGCTGTAATAAGGTCAGGAGCTGACTGGCCCTGGTGGAACCCAAACTGGAAGTCACTGAGCAGATTATTGCTGAGCTGGTGCTGCTTGATAGCACTGTTGATGATGACACCTTCCATCACTTGCCTGATGATCTAGAGTAGATTAAAGGCAGAAATTTCTCCTGCATTTTGTGTACAGGACATACCTTGGCAATATTCCATATTGTCTGGTAGATGCCAGTTTTGTATCTGTACTGGAATAGCTTGGCTAGGGGAGCGACAAGTTCTGGAGCACTAGTCTGCAGTACAGTTGCTGAAAATTGTCAGGGCTAATAGCATTTGCAGTAATCCAATGGGTCCAACCATGTGGAGTGAATCGAATTGACTGAAGATTGGTGATAGAAGACTGGTAACTGTGATGCTGGGGACCTCTGGAGGAGGCTGAGGTGGATCATCCACTCAGCACTTCTGGCTGAGGATGGCTGTGAATGCTTTAGCCTTTTCTTTTGCCTGATGTTTGTCTGGTTTCATTTTCTTTAGCAATTTGACACAACTGAGTGGCTTGCTAGGCCATTTCAGAGGGCAGTTAAGAGACCACCACATTGCTGTGTGCCTGAAGTCAGGTCAGCTGAGGATGGTGTTTTCTTCCCTGAAGGTCATTCATGAATCAGATTTTTACAGCCATTGGCAATGGATTTATGATCACCATTAGACTGATTTTAATTCAAAATTTATTAATTAAATTCAAATTTCAACATTTGCTGTTGTGGGATTTAAACCTGTGTTCCCACAGCATTAGCCCTGGCCCCATATTTCTAGTCTAATGATTTTATAAATGTAAGGTGTCACTTGGCCTCGGCATTACCTGACACACGTGGGTCTCTTTTCAATAAGATATCCCATCCTCTTAGCTGTTGTGGTTCTTGTCATGCAGCAGACCTAGATGCAGGCAGAAAAGTCCAAGGCCCTGGTGTTTCTCTTGCGTTCAGTCCCCTTATTCTGTGCTCCTTCACTTCCCATTAACTTGCCCTCTCAATCATGAATTCTTTTTCCCCTTTCAAGATTCACCAAGTAATTATGTAGAGTGCACGATTTTGTGCTGAGCATGACACCAAATTAAACTAAACTAATCCCTTCTGCCTGCCCTTTGTCCATGTCCTTCCTTTCCTTGTATATTCATGTGCTTATCTAAAAGTTCCTTAAATGTATCTGCCTCCACTACCACCCTGGCAGTGCGTTCCAGACTGCTACCACTCTGTGCTTTCTAAAAAAAATTGCCCCTCATCTCCTTTGAACTTACCCCTCTCACCTTAAATGCATGCCCCTTAGTATGAGACACTTCATCTCTGGGGGCAAAGATTCTGACTGTCAATCCTATCTGTGCATCCCATAATTTTATAAACTTCTTTCAAGCCTTCCCTCAGCCTCTGCCGCTCCAGAGAAAACAACCCGAGTATTTCTAGCCTCTCCTTATAGATCATGCCCTCTAATCCAGGCACCATCCTGGTAAATCTCTTCTGCACCCTCTCCAAAGCCTCCACATCCTTCCTGTAAAGTGGCAACCAGAATTGAATGCATTAAGTATGGCCTAACCAAAGTCTTATAAAGCTACAACATGACATCCTGACTATTGTATTCAATTCCCCGACCAACAAAGGTAAGCATGATATGAGGGCAAACGGCATCAGAGGAGCAGGAAAGCTGACATTTCGGGTCTGGAAGGGTCCAGACCCAAAATGTCAACTTTCCTGCTCTGATGCTGCTTGGCCTGCTGTGTTCATCCAGCTCTACACCTTAATATATCATGCTTGAGATAATGTCTTCTTTACCACCCTATCTGTGTGGCCACTTTCAAGGAGCTATGGACTTGAACCCAGAGATCCTTCTGTATATCAATGCTGTTCAGGGTCCTGTCATTAACTGTATAAATTCACGAAACAATTGCAGAAAGGTCCTGGTAAAATGATAATGCCCATTGTTGGCATCTGGTTTACATACCAATGTAATAACATCTGTGAACATGTTGATTAGAAAATATCTACAGCATGGGTGGTTAATACCTGCAGCAGTAATGATATAATGGAGTGTTAATTTGTGTGCACTCTCTATAGATAATCTCACTCTATTAACCAAGCCAGAAAGTACAAATTTTATTTTAATGCACTCATGCAATATTGTTAATTTGACAGGAAAATATCCCATTAGTTATTTCTAGCGCTCTATAGACAGTAATATTGATTTTGGTCACCTGTTCATTAATACTTTCTGCACATCTTTTATAGTCAATTCACATTTGGAGGAAAAAACACTTATCATCAATACTTGTAACTCAGAAAAACAACACACAATCTGGAAGAATTTCTCCTGCCAGGGTGTGCTTGGTGTTATTCAATATCACTATTTTATGGATGGGTATAATTGGATTCTATTTTATCCGTAACTTCACAGTGTAGAAAGATCAAATGATTCCTGAGCAACAGAGTGAAATCGTTTTAAGAAAAAAGGTCTTCACTCTCAGTTAAAGCCCTCAGGTGCCTCTGTACAATGGGGCTGAGGACAAAGACTGAGTGTCCCACTTGTATCTGCTTTCTTGATCAGCAAGTCTGAAGATATTGAAGTCTGAACCCATGAAAGCACCAGAGTAAAATAAGATAATGGATAAGTGGACAAAAAGACAAAATTAAACTCAATGGAAAAGACTGTTGGCAATCATGTGTTGGGTAAAACAGGTCACTGATTCACCTTGAGTCTATTATGCCCTCCTCTCTTGGCAATTCTGCAAAGCCTGATCATAGTGCATTCCAGACTCTCTCAGCTCACTGTGTGAAAATGGTTTCCTTTGATCACTTTATGGTTTCTTTTAGTGATTACTTTAAATCTGTGTCCCCTTGTTCTCAATCCTTTCATGTAGGAAATTTCTCCAAGATGGCAGCAGAGTAGGACTCTTCAGCCAGAGTTCCTCTGCTCCGTTCATTTTTTTCTTTTCAGGTCCTTTTTGTGTTTTTCTTTCCTCCTTTGCTCTTGCCTGCTGTACCTGGGTGACATCGGTGATGCCCTGGCCTCAGCGCAGACTCAGACTCCCGGCCTCAGCAGCTAGGCCTGATGTGGACTAGAGACTAGGTGCCAGTGTGGACTGGGTTGCAAGGACTGTTATTCTGAACTTTTCATTTTCTTTATTTTTCTCATTTATTCCTATGATCTGTAGTGCTGGACTTCTGCTTTTCTTTATTTTTCTGATTTTTTTTTTTCTAAAAATTTGCACTTAAGAATCTGTATCTAGGTATCTTTTGTACCTAGGACAACTTGTAAACCTTTCACTATACTCATGAATACGTGACAGTTAAGCTAATTGTAAATTCTCCCTATCTACTTTATCCAGACCCCTCATGATTTTGAATATCTCTAGAAAATCTCTTCTCCTCTTTCCTCTAAGGAAAACATTTATAATTTCTCCAACCTAACATCATAACCGAAATTCCTGGCTTTTGGAGCCAATTTTGTGAATGTTTTCGCACTCCTTTTAATGTTTGAACATCCTTGCTAGAGTGCGTCAGCTAATAAAACAGATGATAGTGAATCGTTTCTGTTTTGCGCCACTCTCTGATTTTAAGTTGTTATGTGTATTTTGATGAGGCCTAAGATTATCAAGCATCAGGAACATCAACACAGCACGTTAGCAGAATTGTGCTTGCTTCAGGGCACGATGAAAATGTGGCTATTTACATGCCACTTTAAATTCATGGAGAATTTTCAGAAGAATAACAGCATTGACATTTGTAGAACTAAACCTCAAAAGCTCCCCTCTCTCCAACATGGAGACAACATACAATTGTCTCAAATGATTCCCGCATCTCACTTTACCATTTTTCGACTCCCACTTTCAACCTAAAGCACTCTGTTGATAGTTACTGCCAGAAGGAACTGCTGTGACTAAACTTTGGGCAGCTTTCTGAATTTCTGGGAAGGGGGGGCATTAAAAGAAACTGGGGTCATGAATGTCTGAAGGTTGGAAGGTGCAGCGATGGTCACTGAAGCTGACCTGAAGGACTGGCTTTAAAAAAAAACCTCTGAGCTGTCAAGCGGACACATCAGATCTGTATAAAAGCTGGCCTTGCAGCTCTCAATTTCCGGCTGCTTAAGGATGAGAAGAATTCCCTCTCTTGGATCCTGGCGTTTGGCACGGTATGCCCCTCTCTTTGCTAGGGTTTTCCTAACACAACTGCTGAGTGCAGTTGCAGATTGCAGCAGGCATTATCGCCTGGACAGAAATAGGTTAAAAGTGAGAGATACAGATACATCAGCTAAGGTAAGCTGTGGTTGGGACAAACATACAGAAACATCAAAAGACGTAGAATGATAGCCAGGCAAGAATGACAGGGGAGAGGATAGACCGTGAGCTGTGTCTTAGTAAATTTTGAGTTGTTTTTGAGTGAGCGACCTTCTTACTTATTCCATCTAAGTATTCCATCAGCTTTAGTCCGGAGCAACATTACAACTAATTTGCACCTACGACATGGCTCATTTATTCCGAATCAGATAGCTTCACAGTTTAATCTGCCATCAATTGTTCTTAATTGGAAATTATACCTAGAATTTAGAGAAGAGGAATAGATGAAAGGTCAGTATTATGACAGACGTTCTCATGATTCCATGTTCCTTGGTCTTTGCTGCTACTGGTGATTGGAAGGCAGCCATGACTCAGCGGTTGCGTTGTCATAGGTTCAGGGGTTCAAGTCCCACTCCAGACACTCTTAACACAGTACTGCAGGATGACTGTAACTGCATCGCTATCAGCTGAAATGTTAAATCATTGCTTTCTGAGGTGACCATAAAAGATCTTGTAACGTTCTTTCAAAGAAGAACAGGAGACTTATTCCTGGTATTTTAGCTAATATTTAACCCTCAGATCAATGTTACAACTTCATTATCGTTATTGCTGCATGTGGGAGCTTACTGTCACAATTTGACTGCGATGTTTACAACATTACAACAGTGACAGCAATTCAAACAATAATTCATTGACTGTAAAGTGCTGTGGGATATTCTAAGAACGATAGACTCATGCAGTACAGCAGAGGACCTTTGGGAGTCTAAACCAACTAAAACTTCCCTAAATCTCCAATAGTCCCACTTTCCAGACTTGGAGCCATGAATGTTATGACATTTCTAGTTTGTCCGAGTACAAACAGTTTGAAAACAAATTCCATTCTGAAGTCCATTTCCAAGTCGATTTGTACATAAGTTGGAACACAGTGCAGGACGATATAAAGCAGTCGTTTGTAAATACAGGAAATGTTTGTTTGTGGAATATTAAAGTTTACATTCCTGTTTGAGATCACGTGCGTAATCCAGACTTTTGTAAATCGGGAATCCCATATACCTTTTTAAAAGTTGAGGTTTCCTGCCTCAACTACTCTTCGAGTTTCTCACGACCCTCTGGGTGAAAACATTTTTCCTCAAATCCCCATTAAACCTTCTAGCCTTTCACCTGATAATTCCTCCCCTCCCCCCGCCCCAACCCCGACCCTTTGTTTTTGGCCCTTCAACTAACTAGAGCAGCTACTTTCTGTTCACCCTGTCTGTGCCCCTCATAATCTTACACGCTTCAATCACTTTTCCTGTCAACCTTCTCTACTCTAAAGAAAACAACACTAGCTTATCCAGCCTCTCTCTGTAGTGAAGCTGTTCCATTCCAGGCAACATCCTGGTGAATTTCTCTGCAACCTCTCCAATGCAGTTGCATCCTTCTGAGAGTGTGGTGACCAGAACTGCACTCAGTACTCCAGCTGTGGCCTAGCCAAAGTTCTGTGCCGCTCCAACATAACTTCTTGGAATCAGTGCAACAAGGTAATGAAAGTTCCTTCGTGGATTAAGTAACTGTATTGTCATGAAGCATTGCATGATTGTCTCACTGAGTTAAAAAGAGGTTTTTCTAAGTCTGTCTCTGTGTTTTTCCCACTATCTCTTGTTGAGACGATGCAATTAGAAAGCTAGGTCAGTAGCATGTGGCTTTACCATTTCTGGATGGGTTGTGTTTGATGGATTGGATGTTTTTCTTTATCCCCAATCTACTCTTTCCTTGTATAAATCTGCACTGTTTAATTAATGATGTCTTCATTGTGTCTGCCTGTCTCCAGGTCTGACTGTGGGCAGGAGATAGGTGAATACCCTAATCCTCAGGTAGACACTGCAGAGTGACTTTCAATGGTGTTCTAAACTGGTCCCTCAAATGTGTGAGAAATCTGATTATCTTTTCTGTCATGTGGAAGTACAGCATGGTAAACATGGGCGCAGTGGAAAGTGGTTAGGAAAGAATGGAAAGAGGTTGATGCAGCTGCAACTGTCTTCCAGGACTGCTCAAAATGGGAATCCAACATGCCGACTGCTGTTGTACTAACCTTTTTTTTTCAACACTATAGGCCTCACTCTCTTAATCCCATATTTGCTCACGCGCAAGAAGAGGTGGCGCAATTGCAAGGTTCGTGTATTTGTGGGAGGTCAGATTAATCGTATGGATGAGGAGAGAAAGGCGTAAGTACATGTGAATTGAGCAGGGATTATTGTGTGTGTGTGTGTGCGCGCGCGCGCGTTGTCAAGCATCCAGTCGTGATGTTTCTGATTTGTGTGACCAGTGTTTAGTCTCCTCTCTCAAGGTTAATGGCTCAGTTTTATGGTGATCAATGATTGAGGTTATCAAGGCATGGATATGGGTGTCACTGACAAGGCCAGCGTTTGTTACCCATCCCTAATTGCCCCTGGGAATACACTATAACAGTTAAGTGGCTTATGAATCTATTTTCAGCCGGCAGTTAAGAGTTAGTCACAGCTGTTGATTTGGGATCACAAATAGACTACAGTGGCATGGCATGGTGGTTCAGTGGTTAGCACTGATGTCTCGGTGCCAGGGATCTGGATTTGATTTCAGCCTTGCACAGCTGACTGTGTGAAATTTGCACATTCTCCCTGTGTCTGTGTGGGTTTCCTCCAGGTACTCCGGTTTCTTCCCTCATCCAAAGATGTGCAAGTTAGGTGGATTGGCCTTGCTAAGTTGCTGATGTTATCCAGTGATGTGCATGCTTGGTGGGTTAGCCATGGGAAATGCAGGAATCCGGGGATAGGGTAAGGAGGTGAGTCTGGGTGGGATGCTGTTCGGAGGGGCAGTGTGGACTTGATGGGCTGAACGGCCTGATTCCACACTGTAGGGTATCTATGTTTCTATGCATTGCAGATTTCCTTTCCCTAAAGGACATTGGTGAATCAGATGTATTATTACAAGAATCTGTTAGTTTAAAGGTCATCATTACTGATGATAGTTATTTGTTGGTGTATATTTATTGAATTCATTGAATTTAAGTTGTCTCATCTGTCATGTTGGGATTTGAAGTCAAATCTCTGGATTATAAATGCCAGTCCTCTGGATTTTGTCCAGTAACATAACCACAATGTGACTTGTTATTCCAGGCTCTGATGTTCCAGATTGCAGTGGTAAATAGTTCTTCTACCTCTGCTGATAATGCTTCATGGACACCTAGTTTTAAGCTCCCACTTCTATCTAGTCTGTCCCAATTTGCATGGTGGTACTATCTTGCTACATAATGGATGATCTCCTTACTGCAAAGACCAGAACTCCTAAATCCCTAGTGAGCCCAAATAATGTAGACTGCTGTCCTCCGTAATTTACGCATATCCAAAATATATCCTTTTAACTTTCTGGGACTCAAAGCCTATTTGACAATGTTGGCGCCTTTAACCGTCTGTGAATGAAACGGTCATCTTGTGGCACGTCACCCAATTGTATTACAAATAATCAAATTAATCCCAAAACAATTACACTAGCAGGTATTTTGTAGAACACATCCTATGTAAAATTGCTATATTAGTGTCTTGGTTGTTTTATCTTTGCACACCATAATGCAGCTGTATTCATGCTTTAGGTATATAAAATGCTAAAAGAGATTGACAGAGTAGATGTAGAAAGGATGTTTCCTCGTGTTGGGCAATCTAGAACAAGAGGCCATAGTTTTGGGATGAGGGGTAACGGATCTAAAACACACTGGAGGGAAAGTCACTTCTCAAAGGATTGTGAATTTGTGGAATTCACTACTCCAGAGGTGGATGCTGGGACATGGAGGAAATTTAAGGAGGAGAGAGACATTTAAGTTAGTAATAAGTTGGAGAACAGCAGGAAAGTGGAGTTGAGGTTGAGATGAGATCATCTATGATTGGCAGAGCAGGCTCAAGGGGCTGAATTGCTTACGCTTGCTCCTACCTCTATGTTCTTATGTTCTAGCTCTGTTGAGATATCTGCTCATAATTGACCACTGGAGACTGAGTATAGGTTTACCATTGTTTTATTTCAAGTGATGCATCACTCCAGTTAGACTACAGTAAGACCTAAAGAATACTGAAAAATTGAGCACCTTTATACCATAAGCATCTTATTACCAAATTCTAATTTTGCTTCTTACAAATATAAGAATCAGATGTCCACTCAGAGTCACAAGTTAAATTTCAACATCATTACCTTCGCCTACACAGGGAATAAGTAATCTCGGATGTTGTTTTCCCCATTCCCTATCAGTGTATGACCTGTCTCTAAATCTGTCCTGGCTGCAAAGCTTGTCTCAGATTGCATTTGTCTTACAGATTCCAGCTAACATTAAGCTCTATGATACATAAGGTTCATGGTTCAAGGTCCATTAATTGAAGTCTTCTCTTCAATCTATATATTTAAAGATTTATGTAAATTTCTGCATTTCAAATCATCCATTTGCTGTAATTACATTGAAGGATTTCCTACCTGTCAATAATCTTAGCCTTTACTACTTTCCAGTAATTTTCAGAAACAAAGTTCTTGCTCCTTGTCACAAATACTTGGTTTAAAAAAAAATCAAAAATTGGAAGAAACCAGTAAATACAAATTAACATTCTTCGCAATTAATAATGCAAATGTTTAATTTTATACACCACCTATGAGGAGGAAAGATTAGTGCTAGCAGGTAAACTGACTCAACTTTTGGTCCCTTGATGTCAGTGACAGTTAACCCAGGATAGGTCTCATTGTCAATATTAAAGAGAGAATTTGACAAATTTCACAACAGATGAAGATACTGGATTAATAACTCTGTCTCTGTTGTAGGATGATTACTCTCTTGAACAAATTCCGCCTTGGTTTCCACGAGGTCCACGTCCTGCCAGACATCAATGAGAACCCGCGTCCTGAACAGTAAGGAGCACTGTAGCACAAATGCTATAGCTCTATAAGATTCTGCATTCTGCCACATAGTGCCAGTGATTCTACTTTTACGTCTTTGATTTCGTAAGCCGTTCTTTCAATCCCTCCTCTCCCACTTTTGTTACAGCTTAAAGAGATTTGAAGATCTGATTGCTCCCTTCAGACTGAATGATGGCTTCAAGGATGAAGCTATTGTTAAGGACCTGAGGAAAGATTGTCCTTGGAAGATCTCAGATGAGGAGATTAAGAACAGCAGGACAAAAGTATGTAAAGATCTGGTTGAAGATTTCGTTGATTGTGAACTGGAATGGCTTGAGGACCAGTTTGATACTAACTAGACTAGTATTGATGCATAAATCTAAAATCAGTCTCCTTTCAGGGCTTTTGTACTATTGTGTATGACCAACATTTTTATATTTTGATTTAGTTATGCATCCATTATGTTCATGGATCTGGATTATATGTTAAATTGTTTTTGTATAATTAAAATACCCAAAAAAAATTTAGTGCAAATTAGATAACGTCAATGTGTTACCTGCAGTCACTCCGGCAAGTGAGATTAAACGAGATCTTGTTGGACTACTCCCGTGATGCTGCACTTATAGTTGTGTAAGTATAAGTTCTGTGTGACCCCCAGCTCAGAATGTTTCTGTCCTTCCCTCTAGATGTTGCAAAGCCTCCAGTCATCAGATTTGTGTACCAAAGGCTTAAATTTCTACAACTTATTTTCTAAATTTAGCCTGGTATTTAGTGAAATGAATGAACTTTATTTCAAAATACACTACTAATTTCATAATGTATATCTACAAGATAGATGCCAGTCATTTAAAATACTGATTAGCAATCTCAGTAACTCTCATTCTCAAATAATAATACAGTATAGATTGTTATTTATTGAGTTCTCTGGAAAATATATTAATATTTTACGAAACTATAGTACACAAAGCTGAAAATTCAATTGTAACTTATGAGAGCATATTTATACATGTATTTTATGAACCTAATATACATACACATTTAAATGGTTATTAATAAGTTAAGTTGACTTTAACTAGATTCAGTTGGTCAATTATACAGTGACAAAGTGGCACTGTCTATTTCTATTTCATGCTTCTCTTGGCATTTCCCCTGAATTGAGGTTATGGTTGTTTAAATTTTTATTTAAATTGTCTGCACTACATGGTCAGGATATCTTACCCAAAGAGGCTTAACAAAGGCTTGTTTAAGAGATCTCTACCACTCATTCTCAGAATAGCCTGTGGAAATCTTTTTTTAATCATAGAAGATTTCTTCCCTTCCTTATCATACACTTCATAATTGAATTAAAGTTAAAGCACTGCTTCATAATGGTTTAATTTTTTCGTGAAAGAATTAATAAGAATGGTGAGATTGCATACTTAAGTTACACCAAGGGTATCAGTTTTGTCTTGAGGCCCTGGAATTCTCAAAAAGAGCATATTATTTAACATTGGCGGGTTTCTGTGGAGTGAAATGTTCTCTTATTTTCAGTACAATGCCAGTCGCAAGGAAGGATAAATGCCCGAGCACATTGTACCTGGCATGGCTGGAGACCCTTTCTCAGGACCTCCGTCCCCCTGTCGTCCTCATCCGAGGAAACCAAGAAAATGTCCTGACTTTCTACTGTCAGTAACACTGGCTCAAAGACTGATCATTCATTCATGTTAACACACTTGAACTAAGTATTTGCACCAACAATTAACAGCAAAATCATGAGCATTTTTTGGAAATTTATCGGTAAAGCTGTATCGAGTTTTGTATGTCTGTAAGTTTAGGATTTGAAAGTACAAAATAGGCGACTTGGAATTAAGAGCAACATGAAAAGTTACAGTGAAGGGAGAAGATGGTTTCATGAATTGGAGAATTTCCTAAAGTGTAAAATCTTACCCGATATGATTGTGACAAAGGTACACGTATCTCCACATCCTTCTCATAGTGGTTGACCACATCCTCCTCCAGGACAGCTCTCCATTGTCATTGAGCTGCGTAGGACTCCTTTGATCTTATTCTATCCTTAGCTATCTAAGCATAGCCAGGGTATCACTAACAAATTCATCCCTAGTCATTTTTTCTCCTCTCTCCAAAGATCTGTTCTTGGCTCCCACCTATTTCCCATCTACATGCAGCCTCTCTGTGACATCATCTGAGACTACAGTGTTAACGTTTGCAAACATTGACACCCAACTCCAACCCTACCACCTCTGTCGACTCTTCTGCTGTTGCTAAATTATCAAACTGCTGATTTGACATCCAGTATTGGATAAACAGAAGTTTTCTTCAATGAAATATTGTGAAATGTGAAGCTGTTGTTTTCGATTCCCACTCCATTTTCTAGTTGCCAATTCCAACCCTATCTCTAGAACAGTGTGAGATGAGTTCAATCTGCTCATAAGCTTTGCATCACATCTGAGTTGAAGCTGAGTTTCTGACCTCATATTCACACTAAGACTGTCTATTTGAATCTGAATGATATTGTTAGACTTTCCCTGTTTTGCTTACTTGCTGCTGAAACACAGATCCTTGCATTTGTTACCTCTAAACCTGCCTATTCCAATACACTCCTGGATTACATCCCATATTCTACTCTTCATAAGCTTAAGGTCATCTATAAACTCCTATGTCAGTCTCTTAACTTGCAGCAAGTACCATTTTGTTATTACCCCTGTGCTCGCTGATGCACAGAATTCTCAGCTTTGTTTTCAAACTCCTCTATGACTTTGTTAGTTCCTATCTCCTCCTGCTCCATAACTTCTGTGATATCTTTACTTATTTAATTCTGATCGCTTGAGCATCTCCATCAATATCATGCCTTGGCTTGCTTAGAATCTGAGCTGTGGCATTCTGTCCCTACATCTCTCACTTACTTTGCTACCTTTAACCTATCTCTATAACCAAGCTTTTATTCACCTGACTTAATATAACCTTATTGATTAGTTTCATTCTTATTTGATAATGCTCCTGTGAAGTGCCTTAGGATGTTTTGACATGTTAAAGGTGCTACACATATTACAACAACTTGGATTTCTTTTCACCAAAGTAGTAATATTAATGCAATAAAGGAAAAGTCAACTTAGAATGAATATTGATATATATGATACACCATGCAATTAAACTTAGTCGCGTTGCTCACCGCAATATCCATTGTAAAGCATTGGATAATTTGAATATATTATGCTGTCAAGTGTGTTTATCATGGATTCAAGAGAGACTCTTCAGAGAAAGAAACTAGAAAAAGCAGGGTATGACATGTAAAAAAAAGTGTTGAGACTGTCCTGCGGAACTCTGCCTTATCCAAAATACTCGGACACCAATTGTTTAAACAACTAAGATGACAGCAGTCCTTAGTGGTGTGTCATGTTGTTAAGTGTGGTGCAGCAGGAGTGGTGGGGTGCACTTCTGAGCTGTGATTTCCTATACCATCAGCTCCTGATCTTGTCAAGATGCACAATTCGTAACAGGAAGACAGGATTAGAGCTGAAGATCCTTGAAAGAAGATTCCTGGAACTGAAGGAGATTTAATCAGCAGGTCACCACTTTGGGAAGTGATGCACAATTTGATAGCAATCCACAAGATGGCTACTGAATCAATAGTTTTGATTTTGAAGACCTAGAGCTTAAAAGTAGATAAAATTCAGATCATTGATTATGCTCTTCTTAGACATGTAACCTTTTGATAACATTGCCCGAGGAGTGGGTTCATGATTGATTGCAGTAAATAAATTGATAAATTTATTGTGTAACTTATTCTGGGAGTTTCCTTTGAGCTTCACCTGCTGTTTACACACAATTGTCATACGTTCAGAAAAATTTTAACTGTGGTGCCATAGACAGCTGAATTCCCGGCCTAAGTCCTTCTCCATGTGGAATCGAAAGCAACTAAGTGATTCAATTGTAGGGCTTTGTGAAATTTCCTGGTAATGAATTGAAGAGTATTTCTGGAGACACTTGTAGTTTTATCACTTAAAGGGATAGAGGTCCACTAATGGCTGTTACTCAGGCTGACAACAAGTTGAAATAACTCTACACAGGCAGCTATTCCATCACCAAGTCATCCTTTTATTTACTTGTGGAGAGTCCTCGACGATAACTGTTTCTTCACTTCCCTGAAAGCTATGGCTTAGCTATGCAACCGTTTCCAAGGCTGACCCCTTTTATTTTTTGAGAGTTGACCCAAAAAAGGTGCCACAATCCAGGCCAAGTTATGTATGAACTTTCCGTAATAATTCACCAGCCCAAGGAAAGACCTGAGCCCAGGTACAGACATGGGACCAGGGCACCTTTGATCGCCCTCACTTTATCTTCCAATGGGTGTAATGTGGTCTTGTCGAATCAGTAGCCCAAGTAGGTCACTTGGGGTGCCTAGAACACGTTTTTTCCCCTTCTAAGGCTTATGCCCACCTGGGAGAAACGTCTAGGTACTATGTCCAAGTTCTCTAACTGCTCTTTATTGGTCTTCCTTGTTATTAACATGTCATCTCGATTAAATGGCAACCTGGGGTAGCCCTTGTAAAATGTTCTCCATTGTCTGCTGGAAAAGGGCGCAAGCTGATGATACCCCAAATGTCAGTCTTGTATGTTGGTACAAATCCTTATGGGTATTAATTGTCGCATATTTCTGGGAATCCTCATCTAGCAACAATTGCCAAGTACACATGGCTCATGTCTAGTTTTGTGAAGGACAGACCCGTTGCCAGCTTTGCATATAAATCCTGTATGAGGTGGGGGAGGGGGTTGGGTGTTTATCCAGCTGTGAAAAGCGATTTACTGTTTGTTTAAAATCCCCACAAAGGTGAACCAATCCAGTGGGCTTCACAATCGGTATGTCTGGTGCTGCCCATTCCTCAAACTGTACTGGTTTGATGATTCCTTCACTTTCCAGCTTTCTGATTTGTGCATCTACTTTTGTCTGTAAGACCAATGACACTGGGCAGGCCTTGTAAAATCGTGGAATTGTTTCCTGGTCAACATGCAAGGTGGCCTTGGCTCCTTTGATCGTCCCTAGACCTTCCTGAAAAACTTCTGGGTATTTAACTTAAAAATTCACTTTGGCAGCCATTTGCTAATCGTAAAATGTTGAGCCAATCTAGGTGAATCTTTCTCAACAAATTTCACCCTATAAAGCTTAGGCCCAATCCTTGTACTACACTCAGTGGTAACTGAACTAGCTACTTCTCACGAGAGACCAGAACCAAAATTGTATCCTCAATGTGTAGAGGTTCCCCTGTATAAGTTCAGTCTGACCAAGGTCTTCTGCGAACTCAGGGATTGAAGTCCTGAGTGAGTTTTGTTAAAGACTGGTCCTGCAGTCTCCAAAACGGGTGCACCAGTATTGACCTCCAGTAAAACCAGGTGACCATTTAACCAGACATTTACATTTGGTTCTGATTTGGATGTTGCTAAGCAACTTAACTGGTCCAAACCAGATGTAGGTGGACTTCCCAGGGTGTTCATGGTCCTGGATACCAGCCTTTGAGTTCTCTTACTCAATTTAAGTCTATTGGGATTCTGTCTTGAGTCCACATAGCAGCAACTAAAATGGCTTGCTGGCCCAAATCCTGCAGAAAATGTTAACTATTTGGCCGAGACTTGGCTTTGTTTTGGGGTTTTGCTGTGGGCTGACCTAGAGTTCCTTTGTTCAGGATATGTCCTGAGCAAGGTTATGCAATTGTCTTCACTCAAGTGATTTTTCCCAAGCTCAGTTGGACTGACGAGGGTGTCCACATCCATTGGAATACCCTGTAACTTATAAGCTCCACTTGCCGCATTTTCCAATAATAAAACCAGTTGGGCTTAAGCTATTAGGTGCTTTTGCATGGTTACATCATTAGCCTCACAGACCAAACGGTGTCTCAGCATCTCATTAAGTGTTAAACCAAAGTCATATGCCTCTGCCAGTCATCTTAAACTTATCAAAAATGCCCATATAGATGCCCCTGATTCTCAAATTGCCAAGTAAAACTGATAGTATCTCAGAATTAGAGGAGGCTTGGGGTTGTAATATTCCTCAACTAAATCCATCAACTTTTGTAAGGTTTTATTATCTGGTGTCTCAGGGATAGTTAGGCTCCTAATAACCAAAAAAGCTTTGGGTCCAAGGGCAATCAGGAGAATTACTCATTGGGCAGCTGAAAAGCTATGCCATTTGCCCAGAAGAGATAACACATTCTTTCCACATACTGGTCAAGTCTTTGACAGGATAGAATGAGTCAAGTTTCCCAAATAAATCATACAGTGCCAGAAATCTTTACCCCAACTCAAAGACTGTTGCAAAAGAATTTCTTCAGGAGCGTGCTTTTCTTTCACCACTGAAATAACTCCATAGAGGCTGGTATCATGTCACCAAGTCACCCTTTATTTACACATGGAGCATCTTTAACACTGATCCAGATCCTTCAGAGCCAGCTGTCAGAGTGAACAGGATGTCTGACACTCCTGTTCTTATCTGTCAGCCAGAGCTCTCCAATTGGGCTGTTAATCTGGTCCAATCAGGGAACTCCTATTCTATGAGGTCCAACTGGCTGACCTCATTCCAACCACTACGCAAGTGATGCACATAAAACCAACCAAAATGTCCAGTGACGATAGAAACAAGTTTATATTGTCCATTATTGTACCCACCAAGGAACAACAAGACAATTATTTAATCTTGGAATTCCTCAATCAATCAGTGTGTTGTGTACTAACCAATCATAGGCAATGTTCTCTTCAATTTGCATGGCAACCATCAAATTTCTGTGCAAACCAAACACCATGTGACCCTTGTAAATCACACCAGAACAAAACAGACATCGATTGAGAGACGTAAATAACTTGCACTTTGAAATGAGCAAGAGAAACTCTGAAAATATCAACGCTCTCAAATTATAGAGACTAATAGCCTTCAATGCATCAAACCTTTTTTTACAACCTAAAATATGGAACACAGCCTGGTGATCCTGACAAGGAACAATAGATTGAATCACTTCACCCCTGTATGCCCGGTACACTCTTATAGCAACAGGTATGTTTTTAGTAAAGTATATTTTCAGACCATTCTTTCATTACTACTTCCTGCAGCAGTTGAAGTGTTGCATTTTTGTGTTATGTTTCTTTTTTTCTCACGGTTTGAGGGTGTTATTGGCTAGGCCAGCATGCATTGTCCATCCCTAATTGCCCAGAGGGCAGTTAAAAGTCAACCACATTGTTGTGGGTCTGGAGCCACATGTAGACCAGCCCAGGTAAGGATGGCAGTTTCCTTCCTACAGGATATTAGTGAACCAGATGGGTTTTTCCTGACAGTTGGCAATGGTTCCATGGTCATCATTAGATTCTTAATTCCAGACTTCTTTTGAATTCAAATTCCATCATCTGCTGTGGCAGGATTCGAACCCGGGTCCCCAAAACATTAGCTGGGTCTCTGGATTAACAGTCCAATGACAACATATTTAGGCCATCGCCTCCTCTTTGAGCAAGAGGCTTGCCTTTCAGATTCAGTACCTCGGTGGGATTGATGATTCCCAGAGCATGATGAGCTGGTTGCTTCTCATTTAAGTTGGAACATTTCACAGTCTGGCTTAGCATCTTCAACCTTCTCTGTAGGGAGTACTGCTCCCAACAGCATGTCGGCAACGCACACCTGTCTCCCTTGCTTATATGTCACATCCAAATAATTCTTTGCAAAATGAAGTAAATTCTTTGCAGATGCTTTGGAGCAGATAGAAACAGTTTGAGGAAAATGCTTTGAAGTGGCTTGTGGTCAGACTTCACTGTCGTTTTGTCTCTCATAAACAGGTATTGATTAATACTCTCAGGCAAGAACAATAGCTAGGATCTCCCTGTCAAGCTGAGCACAGCACTTTTCATTTTGCATTAACATCCTGGATGCAACTGCAGATTGTTATCCCTGCTCTATAATGGTTGCTCAAAGTTCTGTCTCACTGGTATCACACTGCAAGGTTACTTCAGTGTTGTTGACACTGACACTGTAATATTGTTGCACTAGTGCTGGTCATTGCTATTTCTTTTGTTTGAGTGACAGTTCTATCTTGTGTTTCCCAGTACTATGACACATCCTTAGGGTTAAGGAAAATCCCAAAGCCTTTTATTCATACATAAGGAGCAAGAGGGTAACTAGAGAAAGGGTTGGCCCACTCAAGGACAAAGGAGGGAAGTTATGTGAGGAGTCAGAAAATGAGTGAGATTCTTAATGAGTACTTTGCGTCAGTATTCACTGAGGAGAGGGACGTGACAGATGTTGAGGTTAGGGATAGATGTTTGATTACTCTAGGTCAAGTCAGCATAAGGAGGCGGGGGGAAGTGTTGGGTATTCTAAAAGGCATTAGGGTGGACAAGTCCCCAGGTCCAGATGGGTTCTATCCTAGGTTACTGAGGGAAGCGAGAGAGGAAATAGCTGGGAACTTAACAGATATCTTTGCAGCATCCTTGAGCACAGGTACATTAGAAAGACGGAGGTTGAGGGGGGACCTGATTGAGGTCTACAAAATCATGAGAGGCGTAGACAAGGTGGATAGCAAGAAGCTTTTGCCCCCAGAGTGGGGGACTCCATTACTAGGGGTCACGATTTCAAGGTGAGAGGGGAAAAGTTTAAGGGAGATATGCGTGGAAAGTTCTTTACGCAGAGGGTGGTGGGTGCCTGGAACGCGTTGCCAGCAGAGGTGGTAGAGGCGGGCATGATAGCATTATTTAAGATGTATCTAGACAGATACGTGAATGGGCAGGGAGCACAGGGATAC